AAGAAATGCCGGTTGGTTCACACTTGGTATAAGTCAGAAATTAAATCCCAATACGAATATTATCCAGGAGTAATATACATCAATGGATTCATTATGGCTTTGACTACCTTTAAATAGCAAAATTTGCAAAAATTAATGCTGATTGAATTATAAAATACCTAAAAAACACAAGCAATTCTTGATTTCTCCATAAAGCCGCCGTGTTACAAAATGCCGTTGGGTTCGCAAATGGTTCACTATTTTCGGAGCACAAGTGGCTCGGAAACGCCTGTTAATGGATTGGCTTCATCGGCGCTCCAATACTTTGCGACTCTATTGTACTCTATGAGAAAAGTATAGGGCAACGGGACCTAACCAAACCTGGACACAGCAGGCGAGAGTCACAACGGCCACTTACGCGAGTGACTCTTCTATAGGCGTTAGCTTTATTATTCTATGTTGCAAATGGAGTAACGCTGTCCGGGCCTTTATCGGAAGAAGTTTCTTTTAATCACTATTTATAATTCTCTTCTACTTTTGACTGAACTTTTCGAATACTTGTTCTTCCTCACACATTAATTATCTTTCCTCAATTTACGAAACCATCCTAAACTCCTAAACTCTGAGAACTGGATCGGTTTTACCAACTCTGATGATTGTGAAACTTGGTGCACAAGCCATCTCTAAAACTTAACTACATTACGCTGTAAGTACAGTTGCTGCAGTATATCTTCCTCATTTCACCGTTCATTCAAATCATATCATACCATTCACATGCATTTACGCTGCCTAAAATATTTTATTTGTTTCTTCAAAATTGTATGGACCCAATCTCTTCCAACAATGTTGAGTTACGCTTTCTGCATATCCCACTTTCAAGCAGCTCATTTATTTAAAACATGTGACGCATGGCTTGTAACTGGAGTTATCTAGACTTCAGACATGGTAAATACCACTATTTGCCGTCAACAGGCATTACCTAGTTGTCTTGATGTTCTGTTTACGGGGACATCAATTCACTAGCACTTCCAGTTAGAGCCCTAGTTTTTATTTTGCTCAATTCCAAGTTTAAGTATGGAGGTCTCTATTTTCTAAAGAAACCATGAGACCATCATCTAATGATACAGCTCATCCCAATTATTTAGAATCTGACGCTATCTGAAACCGATACTGTAGTACCCCTGCACAGCTCTCAAATCTTGCCAACATCAAGAAAGTTGAGTCCATGGTTGCAGTTTGAATGAATCATACGTTTCAAGTTGAAAATCAAATGGATATACCTTAAAAACCTGCTTAAAATACCTTCATGGCACTGCTAACCATATGTGAATTAAGGTTAGGTTTCTCCGCTTACGAACGATTCCCACCATCAGAACAGACATGTAATCAACAATGAAATGGTAGGTCTTAGCATCTAGCAATGTCAATAGAGGGGCAGAAGAGACTGGACATCAAATTCTTGAGTTTCAACCAGTCTATTTTTACAGATCTAGGCCAAGGGCTGCTCTAACCTCCAATTTCACCTGTAGGTTACATGTTTTCTTTTAACACTTGGAGTGGACTGATGAAGTGCGCATGTCCTTCGATATTATAGGGAACTCAGTGGTTAAAACCGAAACTAATACCTAATCTCACGTTCAAATTCTTTTTGAGTTGATTGTGTTAATTCATTTCAATCTAGTTATTACCTAATCAATTAAGGACTGACAAAACTCAAGAAATTTTGATTGCCAGATACAGTCTGATGCAATTTACAATCATGGAACGAAGCAGAGCCAACGTTATGTCTATATTTACAATTTAACCATGTCATAGCCACTTCATCAGTCCACTGGATAAAGTCATGAAGAGGCTTCTTTTGGTAGTCACTAGCACTGAGCGTTGCTTTTGAAACCATTGATGTCAACTGTAGAACCAATCATTACATTTTTAGATGTTTGCATTTAAATGCAGATCTTTCAAGTCCAAACTTGAACCAGAAATGTTTCATCAGAACTTCTGTCAAATAGAATGGCAGTTATATATGTTACTTTTGGTAGTGAATAAGCTGCCGTTTGTCCATTAGCACTAAAAGATTGATCTTGCGCGATGTCGTAGCCCTGTGCAGATACATGAAACGTTTACTTAATTGTGAATGGCCATTTAAGGGAAGAATTGCCACCTTACTTGACATTAGCTCTATTTCATTCATTGTTAGAAGTAGCACTGCAATAGTACTTAGATTACTTAGTAGAGGTGTGTTACCCAATTGGACCATTTAAGAATGCCTAAATTATTCTAAAGCCAAAATTTACATAATTCTAGCAAATTTGTCTCTCTCTTCCTTCAAGCAGAACATGTTTAACTCTAAACAGAATAATGATCATCTCTTACACTGATGTTTTGATCTCTTTCAGAGTTTGAGAATTTGACGATTCTTCAGTCTTTGAAGAGGTATCAACATTTGATCCTGAACTTGCTCAGGGAATGAAATGACAATGGAATCTCCAACAGTCACAGAAACGCCCGAGACTAGCAATACTGAAAATCTGACCAAGACCAGCAATACTGAGAGTCTGACTGAGACTAGCAATACTGAAAGTCCCACCGAACCTACAAACACTGGAAGTCTCACTGAAACTGCGAACACTGAAAGTAACATGGAAAGTCTAACCAAGACTAGCAACACTGAATGTCCGGCCGAGACTAGCGACTCTGAAAGTCCGGTCAAGACTAGCAACACTGAATGTCCGGCTGAGGCTAGCGACACTGGAAGTCCGGCCAAGACTAGCAACACGGAAAGTCCAGCCAAGACTAGCAACACTGAAAGTCCAGCTAAGACTAGCAACACTGAAAGTCCAGCCAAGACGAGCAACACTGAAAGTCTAGCAAAGCCCAACAACACTGAAAGTCCGGCTGAGGCTAGCGACATTGAAAGTCCGGCCAAGACTAGCAACACTGAAAGTCCAGCCAAGACTAGCAACACTGAATGTGTGTCCAAGACTAGCAACACTGAAAGTCCTGCTAAGTCTAGCAACACTGAATGTCCGGCTGAGGCTAGCGACACTGGAAGTCCGGCCAAGACTAGCAACACGGAAAGTCCAGCCAAGACTAGCAACACTGAAAGTCCAGCCAAGACTAGCAACACGGAAAGTCCAGCCAAGACTAGCAACACTGAAAGTCCAGCTAAGACTAGCAACACTGAAAGTCCAGCCAAGACTAGCAACACTGGAAGTCCGACCATTAGTACACGGAAGAGTCCCCGTAGTAAACCGTCTCCCGCTAATAAGGAAGCAGCCAATGGGGCTGTATCATCATCTTCGGTGCGCAAAAATCTCTCCAAAGCAGGAGAGGTTTCCTCTGTAAATGTCAACATCAAGCTAGAAAACAACGAAGAGGAAGCTCCTGCACAATTTGAAAGGCACTTTATCAAAGTAGAAGCTGCAGCTGAATGTTCCGACTACGAAGAAAATGTTGAAGCTGATGATGCTCAAGAGACTGTTAGTGAAGAGGTCAATCAAGAAGGTGAGTCATTTCAACAAAGCATATTTATCAAGCGTGATTCAGAGTTAAAAACAAGAGAAACTAGCAAAAGGAGCAGAGGAAAAAATACAGCTGCGGGTAAAGCTAGTGAGACTGGAGCAAGCACCAGAAATGATGTATTAGAGGACTGGGATGAAGAGAGTATTACGTCCGTCCATTCTGACGATTGTGAAGTCCTCCATGAAGACATTCCAGTCAAAAGAGCTAGGAAAGCTGCGCCAAAATCAGTTCCCAAGAAAGGCAATGCCTCTAAGGGCAAATTGAAGCGAAAGAAAGAGCCAGCCAAAGCTGTGACCAAAAAATTGAAAACATCCGCTGTTGCCGGAAGTAGCGGCATCAAAGCCTCGGGAGGATCTGCTTCCGCTGGTCTTGCTGGCCTGAGAAATATAATTGGTTCCAATTTCAAGAAATTGAACCTCACCGTTAATGAACCATATGATATGAAGAATGAAATTGGATTAAGCTATAAACTTGAAGATCCATCAATGGACACAGCTGCCAGTAATCAGAATGCTGACGGAAGTTTTGAGTGTCCCAAATGTGGAGCCAACTTCAAGTGGAAAACTACCTTGAAATTTCACATGTTCAATCATTTGGAAGACAAAGCCTTGGAATGTAATGTCTGCTTTAAGTTGTTCCTTTCACCTGCGTACCTCCACGAGCACAAGAAAGTGCATCTATTCGAGAACCAAGACAGGAATTTCAACTGTCAAGATTGTAGTGGTCAGTTCGAATCAGAAGCAAGTCTAGCGACCCATAGAGTAAGCCATGCGAAATTAGACACACAGCATTATGTTTGCAATGTATGCAAAGAAAAATTTGCAAGTTTGTTCAGCTTGAATTCACACAAAGCCAAGCATTCGTCTGCTATTAAATATGAGTGTAAGCCTTGTGATCTCAGATTCAAAACTTTAAAAACATTGACAAAGCACATTGCTACTCATAATGTGGAGGTCAAGATCACAGAAAATCAGTAATTGTTAAATGTCTCCCCTTTTACATTGCCTATAGGTAAATCGAATGACTTCCCATAGTTGTAACATCTGAGTAATATTTTTTATGTTTTTTCTGCCTTTTCTGTTAGTATTGGTGGAAACTAAGTTAAAATAAAATCAATTCTGGTTTGTGCAACTCACAACCCAATTGATATGTTTTACTTCCAAAAATGAGGAAACTTCATTCATAATTTTGCAATGAAGACTCCCAGCATTTTTAAATTTTACCTCCTAAGAATTTTTTTATCTACAGAACACCAAGTTTTTTTAAAGGTTGTCCAATTTTCCTATGGCTTCAATATCACTGCCTCCGAAAAATTCAAAGCTTTGTAAATTATTTTGTAAACAAATGAAGGGTAATCGTATTTAATTTTTAGGGTTAAGTTGTTTCATTACTTTGATATCTGTAAAGAATTTTATGTATAAACTTTCTTCCCAAGAAGAGCTTGACGAGTTTTCTCTCATACTTGTCGTTCTTTAAAGAAAATTGTTGTAGTTATTTTTAATCGTCTTACATAGATAAACTCAAGTTTAGATAATAAGAAAATTCGAAAATTCAAGTTTCATGTGATCCTACAAATCATCATCTTCGGAATTTGGAAGTTGCATCAGTTAAAGTATTGAACTGCTGTTTTCAAAATTAGATTGTCATACCTTACCTGTCTCCGCGAGTTAACATAGTGCCCAATAGTGTTTTTCCTTCATTTTCTGACATGAGAAACAATTTTGGATTTTTCAACACAGCTAAATAGAGAGTTATTTTTATTTTTATTTGTTTACACACATCCGAAAATCATGTGCTAAGTGGCTCTAAAACCACTTGCACACTTGCCACTTACTGGGTAAACCCTCAAGTCCTCAGAGCTCCCAGTCCAAGGTACAACTTTTCCTTGGATCATAAGTTTTTACTGTAAAAAATACCGTAAACATTAATTTTAACATGAACTAAATCTCCCAATCAGCCTAAAAATTTGAAATTTTTCTGTTTGTCCTAAACTATCTGCAACTGTGAAAGCTTCAATTCAGTGAAAGAATCAGTCGATACTTTCAGGTGCTTAAAAATTTGAATGGGCCATCCTTTATTTGAATTTCCTTAGTTTTCGGATGCATCTCACTCAAATGTATCGTTAATATATCAACCCTTTGTAATTCACTATTTGAATTCTTATAGATATTACCTACTTTTGAGTACTGTTAGAGGAAATGTCTTAGGACAGTTCTTGCGCGAAAGTCTTCAATAATGTAAATTGGTTTAATTTACCAATTATTTTCAGTAAATGATTACAAAAGAACCACCTATTATTTTGCCTTCTGCTATTATGATTTTTTTATTTCACAATCAGATTTGATTGAATGATGCAAAAATGTCGATAAGCATGTACATATTAGGAGTTGGGAGTCATCAAATGTTTTAAGTTAATATATTTTATTTTTATTTTCTTTACCTACTTGTTATACATTTTGTAATTTAGTCTCTAAAATGGGCTCAAGTTGTCAGATATTAACGATTTAACTGTAAACTGATCATGCTGTATGCATTATTGCAAAGATGTACAAACTACATACATATTTTGCTGCATAAGTGCACCCTCTCTAATTGTAAGATCATCTTTAAATCACAGTGAATTTAACTTTCATTTTTCATTTGTCATTCTGGAGAATAGTTTCAGCAAGTTCGCAAATACTAATCTTTCTAATGCAATTGCAAAGCACTTACAGAAAAGATGTTTGGGAAGTTATCAAAATGTGTATTATCGAATTTAAGTTTTTCAGTGTAAATTCTTTTAACTTCAAAGTATCTAAGGTTCGGATGAAGAGGTACCCAAGAATTTCCTTATTCGGTCTTATTACAGTCTTTATAGACAGAAATTTTTAGAGGCTTCATTTTAAAGAGTTGATGTTATTTATCATTTGTAACAGAGGCCTAGACGTGACCAAATGAAAATCATCCTTGTTGTAATATCCATCAGTGTGTGTCTAACTGAAAAGTTGAAAACCACAGGAAGTTTCTCTGTTTTCCTTGGTCGTTTGCATACTCAGTTAGGACCTAACATTGTAAATATTATGAATTCCTAGGTATCCTTTGTTAATTCACATGTATTAATAATTAGTATTGGTACTTGGATAGTTGGCACTGACAATCTTTTGTTTACAGTAATTGACACCTCAAAAGATTACCCATTTTTGATTAATTAGGTATTATTCATAATTTGGTTTATGTGCCTTATTTATGATCAACTTGTTTTCATGCCAGATCAATTTTATTTTAATATAAACCCATAAACTTCATCTTTTCGTACTTTATTCATAAACACCCTTACCTTTCTATCTGTCATGGACAGGAATATCTGCCCAAAACATTAGGGTACGTACAATTTTTTACCTTCTTTCTCAGCAAAAAATTTTTGAGTTACCTTATGCTGCCATGCTAACTTTTAGAGGTTTCAAAAGAGATTTAAAAAGACCATCATGAAATGAGGCAGTTTTCAATGAGCAATGAAAAAACAGTATTCCCATTAATAGTAATACCCAGATTACCTGACCACTAATGATTCAGCCACCGATTATCTGCTGCAGTCAAAACTGAATGTTTTGGTCAAAATTAAGTTAGCCACCATGACAAAGACCAGTTTTTTGGGCTAAAATTGAATGTTTGTAGTTTTTGTGGTCTTTTCCAATAAAATGCATGATTTCCAATGCAATTTTCCATGATTTGCAACTCTGGTTACAAAAAAACTTGAAATAACATTTTTTCAGTCTTTTTCTTTTTGGTGGTTTTAATAATCTGACGTTCGATATCTGATGCAGCACTCATCACAAATTGTTGGATAATCAGGTTGTTACTGTAGAAACGAAAATTATGAGTTGATCAATAATTCAAGCAGCTCATAGGCCTCCCTTATCATTGAGCATCCAGGCCTGATTTTTAAGAGCACATTTTGTATGGTGTTGCGCAAAGTTAATTATTTGAATAGTGTTATCTATTGCAATAGGAAAAAAGAGGGTGAGGTAATGAAGATTATGAGAGATTAGTGCAATGGTGCACGGTTGAAAGAAACAATGCAGTTTAATTTCAAAAATTTACAAACTTTTAATGCATTGTCCATGGCGTAAAAAGATTAATAAATGCACTGACTGATTGACCATGAGTCAGGCTTCTTAGTAACATGAAATTCAGACTTAAATTATGATCAGACCAGAATGCTTGGACCATCCTGAAACCTATACCGACGTATAGGCATTGCAGTTAATTCTGTGAGTAAAACAAGTTTTAATCATTGCTCATTTTACTCGCAGAAATTGTTCTAATCGATATTAGAACTACCTGGGCAAAATAGGATTTTTTTCTGAAATAAGCAGATTGCTACTTACAGTTTAACGAATGTACACAACAATATATCAACACTTTACACAAAAAATAAGCGTAACTAGAGAATTAATTATTTTCTCTTTTTGAATTTCTTATTTTTCTTAAAGCTAGCACCTTTTTTCCTTTTCCCGTTCTTCATGTGGAAATTTCTCTTCGCCTCCCAAGCCAATTGCTTAGCAGACGCATGATCATTTACAGCTACTTGTGATGAGCTTCCTACTTTACCGTAGGCAGAACCTGTTTGCTCCAGCATTTCAGAGAACTGTGCCGCTGGAGCAAATAAGTCATCTAATGAAGTACTGCTAACATTATATCCTCGTTTCTTTGACTTCTTGGAAGTTAATATATCGTCCTCATCGAAATCGTCCATACCGTCCAGATCATCCATTTCATCGAGATCATCATAGAATTGATCAGACTCTTTAGAAGTCTTCTTCTTCTTCTTCTTTTTCTCTTTCTCTGGTTTGATGTCTTCGTCATAAAGCTCAGAGGCTTCTTCTGACTTGATCTCTTTTTTGATTTTCTTCGATTTTTTATCAAGTTCTTCATCAGAGGATTCTTCTGACTTGATCTCTTTTTTTATTTTCTTTGATTTTTTATCAAGTTTTTCATTTGCTTCAAATTCTTCACCAAATTGTTTTTTCTTTTTGTGTTTTGTTTCCTGGGTATCGAGATGCTCCTTGCTAGGTTTTTTCTTGGTGAGTTTTTTAATTTTCTCCCTAACATCTCTGATTTCATCATCATCAAAACTGACATTCCCATCAAAACTGCCACTATCGTCATCATCAAAATCCATGGCTTCCTCCTCATCGTCTACCGACCCTTCCAAATCACTACCTAGATCACTTACATCAAGTTCATTATCATCCTCATCTTCCTCGTCAGCGGCGCTATCGTCATCTTCATCATCATCATCATCAAAATCTTCTTCTTGATCATCTGACCCTTCCTCACTAAAGTCCTCTTCTACATTTTCATCATTTTCATCACTTTCATCACCATTTTCATCACCTTTGTCTTTATTCAACTTTTTCGCTCGTTTCGTGTCAAGGATGTCATCTTCAAAATCGAGAACATCACTCTTCCCCGTCATCTTGTCCAGCAAATCGAGGAACTCTCCGTCAGTGACCTCTTCATCTGCACTATCGTCTGGTTCATCATCGTTCATTTTTGTTCCTGTGGTGTCGCGTTTTTCTTTTAGGTATCGGTACAGGAACAGCTCATCGACTGGAATCTTCTCTTCACTTAAGTTCAGATATTGGTTGGTATTTACTTGCATTCCTTTAGCACCTTCTGGAGTTTTCTTGGTGATTGCTCCACTTGGCTTCCTGATTAATTGTGCCTTGGGATTCTTGAATGAGAACCTTTCCAAAAATCTGGAAAGGGTGAAGTCGTTCAAAGGATCTCCTTGGTATGTGTTGGGAACTCCTGCAAGAACAAAAAATCAAACAACTGACTTCATAAAAAAAGAAAACAAACAATTGAAAAGAGAAAAAAACTAAGGAGAGAGTTCCTCAGTTTTCGACCCATTTCATTTCCCTGATATGGTTCATGGGAAACAGATTAGCAAAGCAAAAACCATTCTTGCTAGTAGCTCTCTTGATGTTCACAGTAATTCTTCTAAAATCTGGAAAAAATGCAGACGTCTAGCAAGTAACCCCTCCTTAAATAATGCATTTTACCACTCGTTGGTATCAGTTGCTATGTCACAGTGTTCAGCAATATTATTTCAACGAATTCTGACATTCCGTGTATTAAGATATAACACTGTCTTTTATTCATATCTTAATGAAAAATTATGCCAGAGGTCTGAAACTTGGTACAGACACTCTTGAAGGTTTGCAGATCCTAGAAATGCGTTATTCCTAAAAATGGCGGATGTTCGATATCCACTGTTTTACAGATACAGCTTCATATATGCAACATGAATGACATATCGACGGTGTAAGTTGGCAATCATATAGCTCGGTTTGCAAAGTGGCAGACTCCCTGTCATACTTTATTTTTTAAACGGAAAACTACTCAACGGCAATTTTTTAAACTACCGTGATTTTTCTTCTCAGTGCGAACAAAGTTCTGCAAAAACTTCAAGGGATTGATGTCAATTTGCTCTCCTTTAAAATATAACATACAGGTGGAGATTTTCAGACACCGCAAACGAGATATATGATTGCGGACTTAGGCCGTCGATATACAGATATGGAGTATGCGATTGCAGGAATATTGTTCTCCTTGCTGACTCCCAAAATCTTTTGATTGATGTATGTAACAGTACAATGTATTTACCTTCAACGATATTTTTCGCATATAAAGCTACAGTAGGATGAAAGTGCTTTGTCAGCATGAAGAGTTCCCGGAAGACAGCTCTTTCTCCTCCAGCGTAGGCGGGATTTCTTTGGAGTGGATCGTACTTTGCATGAAAGTGAACCTTTTGCTCTACAGTATTCAAACAGTGGTTCCATGAGGAAGTGATCGTATTATTAGCTTCATTGCTTTTAGATTTTGTTGACTTCGTTGTCTGTCCTTGATTTGTTTCATCTTCATCCTACAAAATTTTTCATAAAGATACTAACTTGAGGAGCTTCAAAACATTTAAAAACAATGTAGTTTTGTGAAAACAAAAAAAGTCAGGGCTCTCATGGTATATTTGGACTGAGTTAAACAGAAAGGAACCAACCCACATTTTGGAAAAAATTGAGTTAAGAGTGGTTTTGAACTCAACCACTGCTCTACTATCTATCACCAAAAATTCAAAGTTTTTGTTGGAGCAAATTTTGCAGAAATTGAACTTGAAGTTTATCTTTTACATTGAGTCTTATGCAGGAGCCAAACTTTCAACCTCTTTTTCTCGGTTCGATCCTGATGTGGCTTGGTTCCTTTCTGTTTAACTCCGTCCATTTAAGTGTGTTGTACAGATTTATAACTTCCTTGATTTGAGAATCACCCGAGGAATGAAAGGAAATTTATTTTCTCATTAAAGTCTTCCATATAATCAAGAGGGTCCAACGAACAGCTGTGATATTGATATTGCTTCAAGAAAAGTTGCTAAAATTTGGGAACGGTTGGACTCATCTTCCCCGGTCATTTATATATGTCCTCTACATTAAAAATTCAATTGAAAGGAGATGCTAAAAGATATAATAGGACTTTGTTTTGGTATTGATAGAATGGTGCAATTTTTTTTAAAGTAAATTTGAAAGTCCTGAAGTAGAGAAAACAGTGGGCATTAAAATCAACTTGACCTTATTATCCCTTCATTTACATACCGATGGCTAACGAACAATACCGCGTAGCTGCAAACTGACGATTTTGCCAAACGAAGAGAAAAATTCACCATTTTTGTAATTTTTCGATTAGTTTGCATTTTTTCCAACATTACAGTGTCATTGAAGCGCTTCTTTACATAATTGGAGAAAAACTAAAATCATCAGCTTGCATATTTCATACTGTAGAATGCAGTAAAGTCGCTAATTCATTTTTGCCAAAATTGCCGGTTAGGCGGTATTGTTCGTTAGCCCTTGAGATGCTTGGTTTCTTCTTAGGTGTGTTCAATTTAATATGTTGATAACCGCGTCAGGTACCATTGCATGACAGTGTTTTTAATGAGTGAGTGGCATCCATTTATTCATTCATTTTCTGAGAGTAACGAGTTACTAAGCATCTACGAGATTCTTTCAATTTTTTTGAACCCTAAATGACACCTGTTTTGAAAATGCTAAAAATGGGACCCGTTTAAAAAAATATTTTTGATGGGCTCTGGTGATGTAGCTGGATAGGAGAGGTGACGGTTGCAGATTGGCTGAACCCAGCTTCAGGCTTCACCTTGATATGTCAACTTGACTGTCTGCTTTTGATTAGTTGCATTTAGATTAGGATTTTCTCCCCTTAGAAATGATTTTTTGAAATTTTTAATGAACATTCTGATCTTTTCACAGAATTTTTTGTCAGAAAACTAAATCACAACTTTGCAAAGATTCCTTGCTACCGTCTAATTCTTAAGCAGTCTCAAGCACCAGTGACAGTGACTGATAGGCTAGTATTGAACTGTAAAATGATAATTCTTTTGTCCTTAAGTTATGATCTGAAAGCTCCATAAATTGTCTGAACATCATATTTTCTTGTCCTCACTGTTGCTCCAGTTCAAAAATGAGAGGGATCACAATGCGGAGCGATGTGTGACAGTACATCTGTACCACAATCCTTTTCACTGACAAACATCCCCGATGCCAACGTGTTAAAGAATGCTAGCAACTGACCCATTATAGCTTAGTACAAATGGGTTCTGGATAAAAGTACAGAAGTTGAACAAGGGAGCAATCTTATTTGGAAAATATCTCACCTCTGATTTGATGTCCTTATAGATTTCTTCCGTTGAACCATCATCTTTAAACTTATCAACATCATCAAAATTCTCCTCAACGAGACGACCGATTTTGAAAGCATGATTTGACTGAAGTTGAGAGATTGAGTAAAGAATACCACAAGCGAGTGGCACAGGAGAGTACAAACATAACTGAAAAAATAAGATGATGCAGAAATAGAAGTACCATCTTAGAGTTGGTCATGTTTTTGCTTGAAAATAGAAAAGACAAACTACTCATTGGGCTGATCTTCAGTGGACGTGTAATGCAAGTTTGAGAAGAATCATGCTAAAGAAGGGAAGTAAGACCGAACTTAAATGTATACTTCTGTTTGGAAATGAAGCTCTATGGAGATTTCTGACAATAAAAGCTGAAACCTTTTTTTTTTTTTTTTTTTTTTTTTTTTTTTTTTTTTTTTTTTTTTTTTTTTTTTTTTTTTTTAAAAAAACAAGTTCTGTCTACTCTAACTAGTACTTTTAAGAAAACAGGTTATTCTAAATCCTTTCGACGAAAGATCTCTTCTGCTCATTGAAGACTAATAATTTTTGCTTCTTCTTTTTTTCTTCTTTTTTGCAGCTATTGATCAAGTCTTGACATGCTATGCTAGTGGACATTAAGAAAATGAAAAGACTTGCAATTTGTTGTGTAAAAACTTGCCAACTATGTGGAAGTAAGGAGGAATCAAAAATCAAAATGTCTCTTCCATGCTAGCCTGAAAGTAAAACTTTTAAGATGCGATTAAAAGAGATAAATGCAGTGAAATTAGAATTGAAAGGGAAGAAAAAGTAAGTTGCATTGGTATCACTCACATGAAACAGTCTTTTGAGAAAAGCTCTGATTCGATCAAAATTCCTATCTTTATTGATTGATTTGTAAATCAGGTTGATGAACAGGGCTGGATGGGATGTTTGTGGTAAACGATGATCCAGCATTTTTCGATAGAGAGCTGAGTAAAATCTGTAAAAGAATTTTTAAAGACATTGATAATAAGAGAGATATGTTCATGATACCCTCATAATTGGACTTATAAAAATGCCTTGGCCATGGTAACTTTATTGACATTTTTATTAATATGGCAAGATCACACGATAGTGTGACCTTGATGAATGCAATGCAAAAAAGCTTTTTTGAAATGTAATAGGCCTTAGAAAAATACAAAAGCTCACTTCGTGGTTCATTTCACTAAAATCTAGACAATGGAGTTCAGAAGAGAATTTAAATCATTCATCAATAAGAGGAATAAAAAAAAAAAAAATTACCGATCAGAATGGTCAACTTTTTGAAGCAATAAGAGGGCTTGAATCCCTACATTGAAAGCTCCAACATACACAATTTTGTACATAACTTCTATGTGCTCATCAGGAATGACATTCTCCTTGGGGTTGACCAAAGATGCAAAGTAATACGCTTTGTGCACACCATTGATCAGCGATGCCAACAACCGAGATTCGACATCCCCCTGAAAGAAAAAGTAAGTTCAAAATTTAAGGAAGACACTTATTTTAAAATTTCACTCACACACAGTATTGTTCCTTCATTTTGGTTAGGTTTTCTCGAGTCCCTCTGCGCCAACCTATCTGCCACTTAGGAGAGCTGTCCGCAGACGAGGTAAAGTTGAAAAAGCGTTCTACAGACTATGCACATTACGCACTGAGGAAAAGATTTAACACTTTTTTGATGTGCTCAACATGGTTTTCATGCGATTTAACAAGTGAAAGTCTAACTTGGCTTTGTCTCTTGCGGAAGAATAGTATGAATATTGAATTACAGACAGATTTCTTAACTCTCCAGACATTTTTTCTGTTCAGATACTCTTCAGCTCTTTAAAAAACTAAACATCATTACCAAGAGGCTTCTGAATGGAATGTGTTCGTTCAGCAAAATAAACAAGCTTACCTCTTTGATACAGGCTTTGAAAAATGCAAAGTACAGCAAAATTAACTTCTTCGCAAGTTCCATATCACTTTCGGTGAATTTTAGTCGGCACAAAAAGCTGATGCAATAAAATTTGCATTTAGGAGAGCAGTTAGGTCTGAAACAAAATAAAGATATGATTAACAGAGAGAATATTTCAGGGTTTTGGGACTGCAGACTTTGTTAACAAACTTCAATTTCACACAATCCAAATATCTAGTTTTTACGTCCAATATCAACAGATCATAATGTTTGAAAATCAACAGAGATATCTTCTTCATCTGCATTCCTGGTAATCTTTTTTAAGGCCACTGGTGATCTTAAAAGAAAGAAAAAAAAATTCCAAATGGATGAAAACAGAAGAAAATTGCAACTCACCTAAACAAAAGTTTTTCTATCTCTTTCACAACAACTGTCTTCATATTTGGGTGAGTAGCTAGTAAGCGACTTAAACATGAGACAGTGAAGTTGACAATTCTTGGGGTAGGATCACCAATTTTGTTCACAAGGTTCTTCAATAGGACCTGAAAAATGTTCAAATATGCAATTAATATTAAAATGAAAAATGAATCGGGGGTGCCATTTTAGTTTATTGCAGGGCTGGGCTAAAAGAGACAAGGTTTCTTTTTCTTTTTTGCTCAGCTTCTCATCTTGGGAAAAGGCAGACAAGCAATTTTCCCTGACCCAACTCAAAAGCGCAGGTTGCCTGGCCTGCTCCACCTCGAATGATGCCCCTGCATTGAACGTTCAAGGAAAAGTTTGCTACCTGTGTTTAGTCTCTTTTCTAAGAGAATATTGTAAGTTAAAATTTCTATCAATTTACTTTACTTAGTTTAAAACTCGCAAAAAAAGGTGTGCTAAAAACTGAAACAGCATAACACCCACCATCTGGTGGGTTAAAAAGCCTAGATTTTAACTTTTGTAGCTAGATGAACTGACTAATGAAAATGCAGTGTTTGATGAAATATGTCAGTAACAATTGAACTTCATGATGTCTTTGAACACCTGCCTCGTTTCCTATCACTATAATTAAGTTTACATTCTGCTTACCTCCTCCAGTTCTGGATTCTTGATCAAGAGTTTAGACATAGAGTAAATTGCTTTTTCACGAAACTGCTCAACAGTGTCATGAGCGATGGATTCAAGAGCTGAGACAAATTCGCGGTACATTGATTTAAGCTTATCTTCAAACAGCCAATGTAACAACTGCAATTTGCGGGTCAGGGCATTTCCGGAGCAGAGTTCCGATAAACCTCCAAGTGGTTGATTTTCAAAAGATTTAAGTTTTTTCCCTGGCCGAAGAAGTTCTGTTATGAATAATTCAGTTAGATTCTCTGGAGGAAACAATAAAAGAAGGAAATTAAAAGAAAATCTAGTATAAATAACCTGACTAATTTATTGTAAAAAAGCAATAAACGAAATGGAGCGTTTTCGGTGCAACAATCATTGCAGTTTGTAAGTTAAGAACCAAAAATTTGAAAGGCCTTCATTTTGAAAATTTTTAGGGAAAACAAGTAGCAAAAGCTACCTGCTGAGGGGGCGCCGCCCCCCCAGACCCCCCCTTTCAAATTATATATGTGAGACTTTGAGTNATTGGGAGAGCTAAGAACTATACGCATTCCTGTACACTGAGGCTAATTACAGGGGTGTACTTTTGTAAATTTAACCATAATACATGAGCATATCATGGAAATATGATCACTTTCTTAGAACTATGATCGGTGAATTTGACCACAGTACCTAACTCGAACAGTCAGACCTATGTGAAACAGGCAAAGCTTCACTCCGATTAATATATGATCTCCTCTTAGTTTCAGTAGATTGCTAAACCAGAGAAAAATCTCATTACACTTGGATAAAAAAATCATTACATAAAAAATTACATGCACTACTTAATCTGAAAAAAATTCAGAGTACTTACTGATTACAAGTACACATTCTTTTTTCTTTGAAGCTTTGACCTTGCTTATTAGAAAACTTAATGAGTTAATGTTATGGACAGGTGACTGTTGAACTATAACGATCCGGGCAGCAACTTGATCAGAGTAAGTTCCTTTGGAGGCCATCATTTTTAACCATTCTTCTTCTGTATTTTTTTTGCCTGATGTTTCTGAAAAAGGTAAAAAAACAAATTAGTTGACCAAGGAAGAGCTTCCTGCTGACAGAGCTTGCTGCTCATATGCTGCAGTTATCAAAGCTGAGAATTAGTAAACGAACAACTTTTAGAGGCTTTTGATACATCATCAAAGATTTGAAAAGGAAGAGGTTGGAATAAATGGGCAGTGTTTTTCATAAGGAAACCAAATGGCAAAGCTGCTGTCAAATTTCATTCAACAAATTATTTTTTGCCATGGGAAAAATTCTCGGAAATTTTCAAGAGAATCAATCCATCCGTTCTTAAACAATGATGTCTGATGAAAATTTGCAATAGCTGATGTCACTTAACTTTCCCTCCCAGTCGAAAAAACAGATTATGGCTTTCCAAAACATTTCTCCTTTTTCTCATGTAACCAAAATCTTATGATCTCACATTTACTTCATGCTTGATTCAGGTATTTGGATACGTTAAGTAAAAAAAAAAAAAGAAAAACACTCAGTGATGACTTACTTGTTCTGTATCTGACTTCTTCATCTCGCAAAATAAATTCAGCTTCATCCCGTAATGCAGTAACTTCTTCACTGGATAGTTTGGGGCACTTAAAATCAGGAGGTGGAAGCTTCAACTGGAAATATTAAGAGGAAAAGACAAAAATAAATAGATGCAAGCACTCAAAATTTTAGATTTAAAAGGCTGAAAAGAACCAAAATTATTCCTACAGATAAAACCCTTTGCAGATGACTTGTCCTTTTTCAGTGTATACGTTGAGTACAAAATTTAGTGCCCTCCACATACAACGAAAAGGACAAGTTACCTGGAATGGGCTCTAACCACATACCTACTACAGCACATCTTTACTTCAACTCTCTAGTAGAGACTTTTTCACAAGTTCAACACAATAGAAGTACAAATTTTCCAGAAGAGCCAACATTTGTAGCAACGCTGAAAAATTCACATTTGACTCCAATTTTTTCAAAATTGGCACACAGGTGAAAAGTTTGGTTTTTTTGTATTCAACGCTGCATCCTTTAATAGGACAAGGAATCAATTTGGTGTTCATTAAGTAATATTGTTGAGTATTGTTTAAATGTGGCTTAAAAACATGGTTTGGCTGAACGAGCTGCTAAGTTAAAGAAAATGAAATTGAAAAAGCAATTGTTGAACCCACTAAAATAAAAAAAAAACTGTTCACTAAGAGAAATCCATGATGAGACACTAAGATTTTGATAATTCACAATTTTAGGACATTTTCAATTTCCTTATTATTTTTCCAATCAATTTTCATTTCTTGGACAGTGTAGCTTTAATGTTTCAGCTTATAACTGATTTCTGCCTCAACACATCAAGAGTTGCTTGCAAATCTATCTCCCTCATTGGATTGCTCCAATTCCTACTGGCAAGTGTGGAAATTAACTTCGATTGGACAACATTATCCAAGCTCAGATTGGCAGACAAGCTAGGCACAGGATAGCAGTGCAAATATTTAGTACATACATTAGAATGTAGATTTGAATTTTCTAAATCACATGAAAGTATCTTAAAACTGAGAGTGGAATCAAGCTGGATATACTTAGTTGAACTCTGTCTTTTAAGATAATAATTGGAATGCCATCCGTAGTAATATGATATTTGACTTGAGAGCTGAAGTTGGACAGTTTGTATGCAGGGGCAGACTGGCAGTCGAAAAGTTAGAAAGCGACCCAGATTTGAGGGCCCCTCCCACGGAAAATTTTAAAAATTTCACACTTGCATGAACGCAATTTTAAGCATTTTTGGAGTCAAATTCAAGCGTACTCAAACTTCTAAAGAACCCATTCTCAGGATTATTCTGGGGCCCCAGGAGCCAACTAGGTTTCCCTGTATATTCTGTATAATAAACTTCAGGCAACCTTTTATGTCTCTTAGAGAAAAATTCAAGGATTTTGAGGCATGGTAGTGACTGTAAAGGATTGGAAAATTACAGCATTACCAGGGAAAAATAACGAATCGAAAAAATCGCCGCGGGGGCCCCTTCAGAGCTTTCGCGGAAAATAGTTAGGAGGCGATCGCCTCCCCGCCCCTGTTTATATGAAACACAAGTAATAAGGTAAAAACAGACTCTCACCGTGAGAGTTATTCCGGTTATTCATTGTAGTGCTCATGCTTGATTCTTACGAGGACCTATGGGGTCACATTAATCCAAGTAGAAGGAGACGGACATTTACTGCTTTCGAAAGAGTGCTTATACTTAATACTAGGGGTTTGAAGACTGTTTGAGGATGGTTTCTAAAATTATATAAAGGTAATACTTACTTTGTCGTACCACTTTATAAACCCTTCTTTTTCTTCACCCATTGTAAGTGTGAACTATTTACTACAAAAGACTTTTCTTTTAAAATATGGACAACAAATAATACAAGCACTTTGCATCCATGTGCGGTAGCGGACTAAACTTGCTGGAAAATAGAAAAAGAAAGACAATTTTCAACAAATTTTTCCACGTGTGGACAAGTTTGGAAATAAACATAACCTCTCAAACTTCACAACTTTTCATGACGTCATCGATGGACGTCACGAGCTGACTCCAAACAAAGCATCTGATTGGTTCCTTGTCTGCACCACCCTTTCCTAACCTCAAAAAGTTTAAAGTTTGATGAAAGTTCGTCCAAGTTATCTCAATACGCTTGATTATGGATGAAGTATGTGCATAATTTCTCTGAAAGTCCTTAGCTGACTTTAATGTCACGAATTTTTAGCGTTTCACATACATTGATTCACGCGAAAAAGTGTTGAATCCATTCAATTACTCCTATGTGCCTAGAAAGAACTTAGCTTCACACAAGTTTTGATGGCGGGGTCCTGTGATTTTTGCATTCGAATTTTCAAATGTATCCCTGTTCTGTTCGTTTTATCTGTGGTCGCCTGGTCTTATTTCGCATATGTCGTCCAATTGTGCTTCAGTAAGTATCCACCTCTCATATTATTGCTTTGATCAGAAGATTGTGAAAGTAACTGAGAGCATCACTCAGATCTGCATCTGTAAACTCAGAATCAATCCGCAAAAATACTAAGAGCTCCTTGTATGCAAGCATTTGGGTTTGGCACATTATGTTTCTTGCAGCGGTGAGTTTTATCATCAATGGGACTGTAGCCATGCGTGTCTGCGATTGTGCATGTTTGTATTGAAGTTTAACAAGGTGATGCGTAACAGGAATTGCGACTTGCTCTCATGGTTGCGTCGGCTGAATTCAACTCTATAATGTATCTTTCAAAAGTTTGAAGTTCTTAATTAGTGTCTAATCACACACAAATTAAATCAAAGCTGTGCAACTTTTCTAAGTCGTAACATAATGAAGGCTTTCTTCTTTCTCCCAGAATTGTCTAGTCCATCAGAAATGTTACGTAAGGCTTTTAACTTTGTGAGAGCATCAGAATATCTCATTCCTTATTATTTCTGAAAAAAATCAAATGTATGCTAAAGGATGATACTGGTTTTAAGTTAGTGCTCATGTATTTTAAAGCATTATAATTTCCTTGGTTTATGTGTTGCAGATACAGTGCAGTCAAATGTTGAGCGAGTTTTTGATTTGATGGTATACCATATCCTATTATTTTTTTTCTTATGGGCATATTGGCAAACTGTATGCACTCCGGTCTTCACTGTGCCTCGTAAAGTAAGTAATATTGTAATTTCTTGAAAAATTGTTCATCTGCTTTAAGAGTCTCAGAACTATGTAAATGATTTTATTTAGAATAGATGTACCTAAATGGTTCATCCGTCAGTAAATTTTCAGCATCATTTGTGAATTTGTATAGGATTTTTCAGTTCTATAAATGACAGGTGATCAATGTATGCTTGGTGTAATAAGTGTATATAGCATTTTCATTTAAGAATCAAATTATTCATAATTTCATGGTTGATGTCTCGACTCTTAACCATGAAATTTCTTTCTAGTTTCTCTTTTTTTAAGTTTTTCTAGAGTAAATTTATTTGTACTTTGTTTAACATTCCTAGTTTAAAAGAAGAAAGTAACATCTGGAAAGGAAAAAAATCTAATCCAGCTCCAAAATGTATCGAAGACTCTGTCCTCCTCCAAAAATTTAATAGCCAAACGGTCCAGAAAGCCCAGATTTTAGGGGCTACTTCAATTTTTCAGGAGACAGATAACTTTTTGATGTGCTGCATACAGCATAAAAGGCATGCACTGCAAACGGTGAATTGAGAGCGTTATCATTGCTTCACGATTGCAAGTTTGAAGAAGTCGATGGGGTGCCTCAATTTTTTAGGTGCCCCGCCACCTGACAATTTTAAGGTGCTGAGGGAAGGCAGAACTTTGGCGAAGGACAAATCTTAAGCATCAATCTGTAACAACTATACCAGATTAATTTTTTGGCTCTCGGCCAATAGGAGCCCTTTTATTCTTACGGACTTTCATTTCAATTATCTGAAGCTACAGGTTTTTGTTATGTATTTCAGTTTGTTTTATCAGCTGAGGATCAAGACAGATTTAACAGAGCGGAAAATGAAGGTGCGCAAAAGCAAATAATAGAGGAAGTAACTCAATCCCTCCCTCTAGCCACAAGAACCGCCTCTGGAGGTGAGAATGTCGAATATATCATTTCATTCATCATTTGAGGGACTTCTTTTATGTATGGAAAGTTCCCAAATCTGCTGTTATATATTCGTGAAAGTTTAACAGCCGAGCCACATGGCTCAATATTCTGAAGATCAATATGAAATATTGCTACCACATTACTTATTTTTTACCTCTTTATTACTAATTGTTTTGCCAAAAATGCCCATGCAAGAGAAAATAGATAATGAATTATCATTCCAATGCATGCACATTGTCATTTTTAGCAGGAAACTTAAATCAAAGTCATGCCTAGTATGCGCTTGTTTGTACTCTTCTCAATCAGAGTGCCTACAGGTCTGGAAAATGAGGAATAGTGAAGGAATTTTGTCAGTTCCGGAAAATCAGAGACCAGCAAGGGAATTTTATGCACAAAAATTTTTCTATTAAGTATTGTACTTTTTATGTTATTGACAAAGTAACAATTTTTTTTAACAATGTCTGAGATTTTATTTTTTACCTTCACTTTTGAATCAAGTCTTAAAATAAAAATGCCCTTATAATCGCAATCAAATCACTATGACTAGAATGAATCATGAGATATCTTTTTTAATTGTTTCATTTCAGGATTCCGTTACTGTCACATTTGCAGTCACATTAAACCTGATAGATCTCATCACTGTAGCGTCTGTGGAACTTGCGTCCTGAAGATGGATCACCATTGTCCATGGGTCAACAATTGTGTCTCATTTTCCAATTACAAATATTTTATACTTTTCTTAGGCTATGCCTTACTATACTGCTTATTCATCGTTATGTCAACCCTTCAGTACTTTATTGAATTCTGGGAGGTAACCGTACGTATTATATTATATCACTATTTATACATTTTATTTGTTAATTTTTTAAACCCCACTATCTTGTCTCAATTCAGCTCATTTTCAAAATCTCTTAATTTATAATAATTATGTGGAGAACAACAGTGAAAATCAAGATTGTTAAAAAAAAAAAACAAAACAGAACTCTTTAAGGGCATTGTTCAGCCAAGAGGAATAAAGTGATACGAACTTTGAAATGGAAAAAAATAGGTTTGAAGTTTCACTCTCCTGTAAGTCTCAATGTAACCTTCAAACCAGAAATCATAATTCTCTACACACGATGTGTTCGAAATAGCAGGATTTTAGTTTCCCCTATCAATACATCAAGAAGTCCCATAGACAGTCCAGCCTGAACTAGCATTTTCTGACAATTTTTGATGATTGGAGACTGGTGGTTTTAAAATACAGTGTGCCATTTTTTTAAAAAAAATTTGGTGTGTTATTTATAAGCTAAGCATCAAAGCATAGACTATAAAATTTATTGTCATTAGATAATACTCCTTAGACCAATTGTGAAATGTCTTTTTTTTTCTTTCTTTCAGGGAAATCCAGACAGAGTGCAAAGGTTCAATGTTTTATTCTTATTTTTTGTAGCTGCGATGTTCTTGTTCAGTTTAGTTTCTCTATTTGTATACCATCTTTATCTTGTATCTCACAATAGAACAACTCTAGGTAAGCTATTATTTTTTATCTTATTCACTCTCAATTTTTACGTTTTTTGATTCCTCCTCCCATTTTTTGTTCCAAAATTAGAGTATAGAATTTTTATAGCCTCTAAGGAACCATAATTTCTATTTGTTGTCATATGGAAATGCATTTTGAACTCAGCCTGGAAAAACAATTGAGTTCATCAGTGATGTCCAATGAAAGGACAGTGACAGAGTGTCAAAGAAGAGATTTAGAGGTATCAGTTGCCTCAAAATATTGGGAAGACAGATACATGAGACGTTTTGGTGCAGCAAAGCATCAGAGTGCGTTGTAGGGGTGACATGGATATCATTGGCTAAATGCCAAAAGTACGCATTACTATTGCAACGTTTGCAAATCTCCGATTATGATTCCTTTTTTTGAGGAATATCAATATGTTTCCTTGCTATTTTGTCTTATTTATTTTAGAGTGAGTGAAGAAAATTCACAGCCTATTTTAGTGAAAACGGTTGGTTAGCTTTCCTGTAAAAAGATAAAACATGAGTGGACACTTACAATGTCGCCGTCTGAGATATGCATTTTCCGACTTAAGTCATCGATATGTATTTATATTGAACTCAACCGGAAAGTAACAATTTAGTGTATCAGTGTCGTGTGCCTGCTTTAACTAACTACCTAGCCTCATCTGCATATTTATTTTTGATTTTCCAGAGGCTTTCAGAGCTCCCGTTTTTATCAGAGGTCCAGATAAAAATGGCTTCAATCTGGGTTGTGGCCCAAATTTCACTGAGGTTTTCGGTGATGATGTTCTTCTTTGGTTTGTTCCAGTGTTCACCAGGTGAGTTCGGAAAAGGAAAAAAATCCTTTTTTTTTGTATTTGAACAGTTGTCCAATATTGTCCTTGTGAAATTGCAGTGAGGTCAGAGATTACATACCATTGAGTTTTACAAATTTGAGGTAAAAAAATCATACCAAAGTACCCTCTTTTTTGAGCTGGTAATTTTGTTCTCCTTTAACTTTGTTCCCCTGAAATTTAAAGATTAAGAAGGGTGATCTTCATCATGTTCACGTGGTTTTGCATTTGGTGTGACTGTTTGTGAATTATTGAGATACTCGTGCACAATAATCATGAATGATCTGTCCGTTTGTTTTATTCCTCTTCATGCTTTTAAAATGTTTATCATTGCACCATAGCAATCAATATCTGCATCACACCTCTTATAATACTTTTGATCATGTTCTATCCTACTCATAAAAATTTCCATGTTTTCAAGCGCAAAAGGGTGTCAAAAAACTGCGACCTGTTTAGGAGTTTCACAAGATTTTCCCTTGTTTAGGACTAGGAGACAGGAAAAATACTTTTCAAGTGAGCGCGTTCCTCATTTAGGAGCAGAGAGAGAATAAAAGGACTTTCCGTTTTTGCATTAATGACTTCATATGCTGCTTTCTTGACAGAGGCACCTACAAATTTAAAGAGCAATAACTTCGGTAAAAATACATAGTGAGGTTTAAGGCCAAGAGGGGTGCAAAAACTTCTCAACTTTGCGACTGGTGGTCGCAATCAGGCAAGTGCAAAAATGGTACGGGAGCTTTAAAAATAGGAAGATGGCTTGCATTAATGTAAAAACTGTGCATTTTTTCGCAACATTGAGGTGAAAATTGCATGTGTCTTGCAAGATTGTGGTAAAAGTTATATACTTTTCTTAAAATTGCGGCAGTTAGTAAACAGAGAATGAAGTAAAAGGTCATCTGTTTGAAACTTTCGAGAAAATAGAGGGTTTCTAAATGGGAGGGCCGATTTGAACAATCAAAGAACTTTCCCTAATGGCATACTATAGAAGTGTGAAATTGTGAAGAATTCTCAGGATTTCTCCATTTGAGGGGCTTTTTTAGTCGTGTCTAGTTTCAGTCCTTCCCCTTTTTACGGTTTTTCACCTCTCATTAGAACTCACAGTTGAACTCTTCCTATAAATTTTCATATTTTCATATTCCGAGTGAGTGAAAAGCTGATATTGACCTCTAAGAGTTCATAATAACTCAGCAGTTCCTCGTTTCAAAGAGCCTCTTTCTATCCTTTTCCATGGTAAAGTTGAAACCAGTCCATTTCGAGTCTAAACCTTTGAATCAGTCTTGCTTTGAATTGCAGCTTGTATCAATCAGCTTTTTTATGAAGTTCCTTTCACTTTGCGTTTTGTACATTTTGCTTTCTCTGATTTCATGATTTCTGGTTTTATGAAGGTTAATAATGTAAGAAACCAAGAAAAGACATAAACGAAAGTGAACAAAAGAACAATTATATATCCTAAAATGAGAGAACTAAGTAACCAAAACTGGACACACTGATTTAAGGTATTAAATTGAAAGTTGTTCAATTCTATTAAGTTTAGCTACAAACGAGAAAAATTTAGCCAGAAAATGGACCATAACTTTCTATAGTTAAAACATACAAGTGACCCTAAAAACCGTTTTTCCTCCATAATTTTTTTTTATTTATTCAAATTAGGCCCTTTTTTATTTAACTGATTTAAACTTTGCTTTTGCAAACTTAAAAACTAAATTTCTGTCCTAGATGCAATTGATTTTGTGGACAGTCCTTGCAGAAGCATGTGAATCATCATCGCAAATCATGCTTTTCCCCCCTTTCTACCTCACTTAGCCCCTGCTCCTTAGTCTTAATATCAGCCCCCATTTTGTTCATTTTGCTCTTTTTATCCAGTTAAACCCTGTTTTCTCTTTTGCATATAATAAAGGAGATTCATTCATTTTCGTGCCTGATTCAATATTATCAGAATCAGCCCAGGCTTATTTTTTTATCCTGTAAACTTTTGAAGGAACTGTCTTTTTCGACATTTTTTTTATTTTCATTCATTTACTCTTCTGCTCAGTCATAGCATTGTTTTAAAATTGGTTTTTTTGTCCCCCTCTCTTCATGACTGCATTTTTGCAGTATGGGTGATGGCGTAGAATTCCCCGTGCGTTATGGATACAGTAGCTCCTCCAACCGATATCACTCAATGGGACGGACCATTAACAGGTCAGCCTTTTTTCATTATTTTCAATTTTAATCACTGAATTCAACAAACATGGGTTTTTAATAAAGCCCCTTTGCAGCCATTATTTTTGAAAGTCTAGTATTTAGATCTACTGGATTCAATCGTGACATTTTTCTCTCACTATCGATTATTTCTCTGCCAAAAGATGACGACTTACTCAAACAGTTTACTCCTGGGTCGTTTCACAGGATTTTTTTTCAAAATTTTGAACCCTAAATTCTCATTTGTCCACAACTTTCAACCAAAAATTTTCAAATTCGGAGGGTGACTTCTCTTCCTTTATCAAATAATATTAGCTTCACTCTCCTTCAGAAGCTAGCGGGTTACAAGAGAACCTTGGCCAGTCCAAATTAGGTTTCCTCGAATGAGGAGGGACACCTAGTTTCAGGGAAGAATAGAAGCTGAAATAAAAGTATAATGTAGAATTGAAGGTCTAAAACGCACAGGAATCTTCCAGTTAATTTTGAGATGCGTGGTATCCAATGTCTTGAAAGATTTCAGCTATGCAATGAAAATACCAGAAGGATTTCATGTGCCTGATAAAACTTAGTGCAATAAAATACCATATTTTGAGATCAAGAAAATTCTAATGGGAATCAACTGAATCTGCCAGAACATGATTCTCTGTTCCCAAAGGATCGTTCATTCTATTCTCCTCCTCTGTAATCATCAATGCTGCAATTCCTTTAAAATATAGTATTTATGGCTTTGACTCTTCTCTATGTTTATTTCCATTTGCTTGCTTTGTATGCTACAAGTATGCTGTCTTCACCTCAGGCATGTGCATGTTGCTTATTATTAGAGTCCTTCTTCTTTTCTTTTTGCCGTGAATGTGGATAGCTGTTGTATGTGTCTGTTCATTTATCTTTAAAATATCATTTCTTTGATCCCTCTCAATCAAATTTGAGGGGGAAGCTGCGTTGAACTCGCGCAAAACTTACTAAAATTTAAGGAAACAATTTGTTGGCCATGATCAGTCTAACGGCATTTCACGTTTCCTAATTTTCTTTCATGCTTTATTTCTTCAACAGAGAACTAAACTACTGAGCGCCTTTGAACTTCCTGTAAATTTACTCTTGATTATAAAGAAAATACTTCGGAAAATTTAAAGGTTCAATGTTGCTTAGTTTTCTGTTTGAAAAATAAACCATCAGAGACAATTAGTCAACATCTGATGTGGTTAAGCTGATTCTAGACAAATCTGTTATTTGTTCTTGACAAACACTTTAATCTCTTCTGGATATTATTTTGCCCAGTTCTAAAATAATTTTTGTTTTGTTTTTGTTGGTTCTTTGTGAATTTCTTTGAAGCTAAACTGATAATACCATCCGATATGAGACAAAAATATCATTACTCAGAAACTTAAGCACCAACATGACCTAATGAAATCTGTTGCACTATGCTTAAATATGAGTATATTTTGTGTTTACAGATCCATGTTAAGTTTTTATTTTGAGTAGTGTGCGTATTGTAAAACTAAATTATTAGTTTGAATTTTTTCTCTCAATCAGCAAAGGAATTTTTTTCTTCTAATTAGTGCAGTTAATTATTTTTTAGTTTTGAATCAGTCTAAGAGTACCTACAATGAATAATTGCAAATTACATAATTAATCTATAAAAAGATAAAAATCTATTCTAATTAAAGCAATTTAAGGTCACTTAAAATTAGTGCACGTTGTGTTTAATACAGTTACAGACTCTCAACTCAATTTTTGACTCTTAAAGAATTTCTCTCAAGAATAAAAGTGTCTATTAAATCATACTCTAAAATATAAAATCATAAGAGCAATGCGCACCACAACACTCAACGCCTGAGGCACAAAGCGCTTTAGGGATTGGACTGCATAGTGGTGAAGAGGCGTGGCCCCTTAGTCAGTATAATTTTTATTACCGTTGTATTAAAAATCTGACTCAGAAAAAATCGTTTAAGATTTTAAAGTTTGAAAGGACCTCAAATTTATAAGTTGGATTTAGCCATTGTCAGCTTACATTTAAACTCAATTGAATTTATGAGGAATAATCGGATTATTCTGCAATTAGATTATAAAAACAACTTAAATACGCAGGAAGACACAGCCAAGCAAATTAGATGATACTTATCTATCTGAATTGAGGATTTTACATTGCTTTGCACTGATTGTATACCATTTGTCTAGAGGTTAGCTAACCCTTTAACCTATGTTCTCACTTATGGTGATGATATTGTTGATTAGTATTGGTGATGGTGTGGAATACCCGCAGCGAACATTGGATCCAGCCTCTGATCATCTCTTAGGTTCTGATAATTGGACGGATGACAACGACGATTTCAGATTCGCACCCTATGTTCCTCCATTATCCCCTAGGACTGCCAAAAGAGCCTTAGCACCTACTAATTTAGGTTAGACTTCAATTCTAAATTCTCTTTGCAGTAAAGTTGTATTCCTCAAGAGCTTTTTGTAAAGATGAAGTAAATTTTTTTTAAAAAAAGGCGTTGAGTATAATATGCGGATGACTCAAGATTTTCTTCGTAATTTTTTCGTCTATTTGTACTTAAGTATCAAGTAAACTATTCGCCAGCAAATACAATACTACCGTTAAAAAGTAATTCTGAACATTATCAGTTTTCTTAACTATATGACATTGATAATTTCTTTCTGAACTTCATAATAAAATCTGTTGCAACACAAAAATTGAGCTCACAAACGAGAATATTGTCATTAAAAATCAGTGAACAAGCAAGTTTGCAAGTTTGCAAGTAAGCTGGTCCTCTCTATGAAGAATTAGAGATCATTTTTTATTTTTTTAGTGCTAGAACTAATGAAAAAAATAAGCTATTATCTACATGGAACTTTTCTCGACTTATTTATTGGCTTAATCAAATTTTTTGTTGTGGCATAAACTCCAATTTTTTCTTTAAAATCCTACGAATGAGCTTTAATTCCAGCTAAAACAAGATTATATTTTTTTGTCTCAAGAGTTTGAGGTGAGCAAAATTTCCCATTTCATTCCCCATGAAAATACTTCAATCCAAGTGAATGAGAAGTCAAAATCAGAACAATTCTAATGTCATCAACGTTCTTGAATTGAAATTGATAGATTTTGTCCTATGGCTTCATCCAAAAGTGTTTCCAAAACTTGTGTTAGTCCCAAGTCAGAATCAGTAAGCTCAGAATTCATTATTACTTGGCTTGGTCTCAAGACTCCTGCATGTTCAATATTAAGACAATTTTTCTTCTGAAAAGTATTTTCTCTGAAATCCTAAAATACTTTGAAAAAAATTTCCAAATTCCAATTATGGTCGAAATTACCCTTGTATGAAATATGTAGTGGGTATCATAAATTTTTAAACCGAGAACTTGATTTAGGGGGAATTTACTTACATTCTCCTCCTCCCTCGAAACCTAAATGGATCATGGTTGCCCTCAATGTTGAAGTAATTTTTCCTCCATTGTGTCTGAGATTGTTCCAAAGAAAGTAGTGAAATGGGAAATTTTACTCACAAATTAAATCTTACCTTTAATTACTACCTTTTCTAGTTCTTCCTAATTTTTTCTCTTTACTTCTAGATAATTCCTCATCTTATGATTCTACAAGGTCGTCTGATCAATGGTAAAAATAAATTTTATCATCTGCAAGTGAAAGTATCATGCCTTCCTCACGTTTTCCCCTCTTTTCACCTAACTTTGTATGTTACCTCTTTGCATCTTGCCTGTCTCGCTCTTTTGGTGAGTGTGTTCTTTTTCTTTATTTTCCTGACCACCACTTTCTCTGTGGGGGAAATCTTGAAACATCCCTCTCCTCTCTAAAAGGACATTTATATTCTTACCTTTTCTTGCACGTGGCACATACTTATCCCAGGATTGATGGCTAAGCATTTGTATGAGTTAATTTTTTTTTGAATACTTGTGTTTTGTAGGTAAAAACCTGCTTTCATTTTTTTTATTAGGTTTTCTTTTTTTATGGGTTATTGATTGATTTTTTTTCTTTTCTTCAATTTTTCAGTAATTAACTGTGCTATTTTTTCTGTTTTTTCAAGCTATTTTTAACTATTTATGATTGCGCATATCGATGTCTAAATGCGAATAATGTGTACGTATTTCAGTTGCAATGTTTAAAAATCTAATTATGTTTTATTTTCTTTGAGGAAAACTAATCAAAATTTTTCCCTGCATTTTCATGAGATGTATTCAGAGTGAGTAAAGATAACTCACCAAGAATTTCAAAAGAAACTGTTGATCGGTTTTCTTTTTAAAAAAATAGAACATAAGAGGATACCTATAATGTTGCAATATGTGATGTGAATGTTTCAATTTTAGACATCCCACCCTGTCCTATTATTACCTCTGAATTTTCATAAGTCTGCTATACTATGTGTTTTCCCCCCTAAGATACTTGTGTATGTATAATTTAATCATGCATGTGTCAAATTGTTACCACATCCTTATTTTATTCAGCCTAAATTGAAGGTCCTAGTCCTAAAAATGTTCCTTTTAACATTTAAGAACAAAATGGCATAACGCTCTCTTCTCCCCTTTGCCATAGAGCATTATGTGTTCTATCAACAGCCCCTTACCAATACAGAGTATTTTTTTCTGTTTTTTTTTTTCTGTCGTGCATGCAAATTTAATAATGCACTGTCTTTTTCTCCATGTAATGGTTTTCAAGTTGCACTGCTTTACCTCAGCACTATTAGTTCCTTCTTACTCTTTTTCAAAGATTTCCGCCTAAACATGTTTTAAAAGGATTGCAGTATGTACCTTGCCATAACAAAAAGAAAGTAACATTCAGATTACAAGCAGTTCTGTTGCTGCATGTGATGATGATAATTCACGTTTCAAATTTTGATGTATGTTTTTTTTCTAGGGTTTACTTCTATTGAACTTACTCTATTCATACTCTCTCTTTTTTATTTTTTGTTGCCGAACGAAGACTAGCTGTAATTGTATGTACCTTCACAGGTTATACCCCAAATGTAATTTGTATAATGAGTCAGTTGCGGTTGAATGAGTCACAGAACAGTGTTTTGATAATCTCAGATTATAAATCAGTAAAAAGTAATAATATCTGTGCAAACATCAAGTTTCCGTGTCTAATATTATCAGAGATATCGCCCTTCCAAATACAGTGTATGACGTCATCCATCACGGTACTGCATTCCATGGTTTCTTTCAACTTGGTTTCATCCATATTTATAAGTTCAGCAACCAGTACAGATGCAGTGTCATTAATTAATCAACCCAAGGTGAAAGAAACCAGGGTTATGTATGCTATGGATGACGTAATACATGGTTTTCTTCGAAGGGCAATATCTCCATTAAAATTGGACTCAAAAACTAGGGGTTTGTACAGATCTTATTGTTTTTTGCTAATCTTCAAGCTCAAACGGTCAAAACACAATTTTGTGACCAGTGCAACTGACCCATCAAGTTGGAGCTGAGGAGTACTCTCAGTGGAATTAAATTGACCTTATTTTTCGGCAATTACTAATTTTTTTAATATAATTTTTTTAAGCAAAGAGGAGTGCTTAGGTGACTAGCTAATGTACGCAAAATAGTTGAGGTAAACAATTGTGATTTCAAAATAACACACGAAGCAGTTTAATTTTAAATTATCTCAATGCTTTCAATCCTCTTAGAGCAAGAATTATTGGTTGGAAACAAAGGAGACGTTGAGTAATTTGCAATGGAACAGTGTCTGTATTTTGAACCAGCTGATCAGCTTGTAAGTGTACCGAAGCTCTCGTCTACATTCCAATATTTTTCAGTAATTATGCGATAATGAGCCACTGACATTGCTCAAATCTTGAAGCCGTTCGTAAAATAATATGGCTAAAAGACCATTTTGGTCACTCTATAATGTCATTAGTTTTCTGAATTTTATACCTGTCCCTCTCTCTCTGCGTACTGTGCAGTAAGAGCTTAACACAATTTGTTTGTTCAACTGACATTGACTTATGTTTTTGTTTCAGTGAGGAAAATGGTCTCAATACAGGTTCAAATTTAGATCGCCAGCAGACATTCGTAGTATAGGATTCATATATTCAAGCAACAAAAACATCAGCTTTAGTGAAATTCGTAAATATCCACTAGTCTTCATTTTCTATCCTTGTCTTTTAAAAGAACTTAAAAATTCTTTCTCAAACTTATTTCAAGCTTCGCGGCAACTAATGATCACTATGAATTTATAAAAGTAAGAGTTTCCCTTTTATCAAACGACCTAGCAGCAAATAGGAACCTGCTATTTCGAGAGACTTACCTCCAGGTATGTCACCCATTATTGTGATTTATTCATTGTTTATATTGTTTTTAGATTTACGTTTTTTATCGCATTTTGTAACTTACAATTACTGCAAGTGCCGATATGGGATACCCGCAATATGTGATCGTGCTCTTTAATTCTTTGGCAATTTTCTTTTCGTGATAGTGGATCATCACTAAATCAGAAGGAAAAAAACCGGAACTTCTCCCCGGAGAAGTTGTCAATTATTATGAAGTCAAATTTAAAACTTAAGCAATTGTAGACACTTTCGAATTAAAATAAATTCCCTGGTAGGATGTAAATCTACCCCATAGAAAAAGATTCTAACTCCAGAAGTTTAAATGATACTGGATCACTAGTCAAAGTACGAATTTAAGGATTCTAATATATGTTTCCTCTTCAACAAAAGTATGTGGAACAAGATGCTTGCAATGGAAATTACTGAAAGTAACTCCTAACCAAGATATTAAAAATTTTAACAAAATATCAACCTTTTGGCACTGTTTATGAGAAATTTGAATTTCCTGCAACAGCTGAGCCGAAGGGTCGAGGCTAATGTTGTCATATTTTCATACTGTAGAGCTAACATGGTAACATTTTGACCACATTTTGCAATTTGGAACTACAATTTCTGGCTCAATTTAGAAACAACGTACGTACCATTTTCAGTTACCTCATGCACATAAGCGTTTTTACCGATGAGCCAGAAATTGTTGTCCTAAATGCAAGATGAAGTCTGTTTTATGTGTAATTCAACTCAAGTAGAGAACGGTTTTTTCATTAGCAGGAAGTTCGGATCTATGCATCAAAAAACGGTAAAATCTTAGTAAGGAGTAAAATTCAATAATTTTCGTGGCATAAATTGAATCAGTGAGAACGAAAACACACCAACTCGGAAAAATGAAAATAATCAAGACACATACAAAACTGCAGAGTAGATGAAGAAGTTAGTTTAAGAAAAATATTTTTGCTGCCAAAAGACATGCACTTATTGACCTTTTAAAGGTAAAAGTTGGAACAGATGCGCTAACTTCAATGACCTTCATGTAAATTAACTGTGTTTAATGGCAATTGAGCATTTTCGAGTTACCAAGTTGGTGTGTTTTCGTTCTCACTGATTCAATTGTGTTCTATGTGAAATTTCATGAGAAAAGGGCATGCACTTATCACAATGCTTAAATTCACACTATGTATAGCGGTCCATTGCCTGCTTTCACCTATTTAGTTGTATTTCTTTGCACTAAATTTAAAAAAAATTTGGACAAATTTCTCAGAATTTTCTTTTTTCTGTCCATTTAACTTCTGATTCACCATTTTTACACAAATAACTGTAATCTTGTGAAAACCTCCATGAAAGTAACCTCCTCTTTTCATATCCTATCATTAGTACTTTCAAATTTCTGCGGATTGTGATTTCTGAACTTGGAATCAAAGAAAAAATCAGGGACTGATCCTTTTCTTCTTTTGTTCAAGCGGGTATAAATACTTTCTCCTCAATCAGATTCGTTGCATCGAATTTCGTCAAAAATTTACTCCCCAATTTACTGAATTCGATTTATTTCCTTGAATAAGCACTTGAAATGACAGTTTCTGTAAGACTTCTCATCTAATGCCTTTGTTTGATCTCTTTTTCCTCTTCGCATCTTCGTAAATTGCATTTTTAATTTTATACTCTGTCATCAAAATTTCACTCCATCCAAGTAAATTTAATTTTTTATTTGTCATGTGCAAGCTCTCGATGCTTCTTCCTAAACATTTTCTTGAATTTTAAAGGAAAGAGTGGGAAGTATCAAGTAGCGAGTTTCTGTTGCTGATAGGTCAAGCGAAGTTGTCAGGTGTGTTCTGCGCTTCATCGAAGTATCAGGGCTTAATGAAATTTGAAATTTTCATGATTTACTTTTGGTCCTAACAATGAGCCGAAATCGTACCGATCCTCGGCTTAATAAACCGTTAATTCTGTCTTTAGACTGACAAAGATTTCTGGAGATACTGAAGATCAACCGAATTAACGGAGCACTACACAGTACTGTACAATTGAACTACATTTTGCAATTAAAAACCACAATATCTGGCTCAGTTTAGAAACAACGTATGCACTATGAGTTTCTATTAGCAAATAAACGTTTTTACGGATGAGCCAGATTTTAGTGCCTTATTACAAAATTTAGTTCAATTGCCGTTTGGTACTTCGATAATCCCATCCAACAGTTTGAGATCCGTCCAAGTTGGCCTGTCTGATCTGCAACGGAAATGGGCTGAAATGATTTTTCTCAAATGGACTTCATCTTGCCACAAGGAATTTAAGACTCTACCATAGGAGCACCTATCTGCAGGAAGGAGCCTATGTCGCATAAATTGGTTCTGTAAGGAGCTAAGGACCGTGGCTCCTTATTGCAAAAGGTAGTCCAAACGTTGCGATATCCTAGATGTTCTTTTTTCTCAAGACAAAAGTGTGAGAGATTTTTTGATTATTTTTTACTGTTTTGCCTGCTTTGGTAAAACTGTGCATCCCAGTCACACCCATCTCCATACTTACAGGAATTAATAAATCACTTCATTATAATGAAAAGCAACAATTTTCCGAAGGTGTGGGTCTTGAGGAGCCAGTAGGAGGGTCCACTGGATCCTCATACTGTGCAGAATGCTTTGCTTTGTTTGGGTCAATACTCCTTAGACACTGCATAGGCATAGTTAAAAATGCCATATCCAGTGCATACAGGTAGAGGTTTTCTTTTTTCTTTTTTCAAAGATTTAAGTATTTGTACTCATTATTTTACTTTTTTTCCTGAAGCGTCTGACTGAATTAAACAACTTCTCCAGAGCCAATCACTTTCCAGGCGTAGTTACAACTCTGCATAGACTTCCGTTTACTTCACTAACATAACATTTTGGAACAAGGCGTATGGAATTGCTAGCTTAGCATTTATTCTAAAACATCGATTTCAGGGAGTTACGCTTTCATGGTTGCAGCGTTTCGAGCAATGGCATTTAAAGAGTTGAAATCAGTAGGATTTTTCTCAAAATATGCATTTCTTCAATCTGCTAACGCCTCCTGCTCCTATCCTCTAGTCCAGTTTAGATTTATTTTATTTCTGTTGTTTTAAATAGGTTTAAGTTACGAGCCCCTATGAGCAGATTAGAAATTGACTGAAAGCTTTTCACTCATTAATCAGTTTTGAAACTATCTCTTTGCTAACTTCAGATTCAACTTTTTCTACAGATTCTTTAATTTCATTGGGTAAAATTTTCTTTTTTTCCTCTCTCATCGCAGTTGAATATCAGTTCTGGCCCTGGAGTGAAAATTTGTTGTCTGTGCGTTATTTATTCTGTAAATTAGATTTATTTTTTTGGCAAATAATAAATTAAATCTCAAAAGTTCTAATGAAAAAAATTTTTATGTCAGGGTCAAACCTTGAAGCTCCAAAAAACCTGACCGTTTTTAACAAATCTCATTCAAAATAGCCACTGTGCTCCAATCAGACTGAACATTGAAGAAATTATGAAAATTAATGTATGTACTCAAAATTATGTCCTACCTATCAACTGTGCAACCTTTTATCTATGTTCCATTAAACTTTTGGACCCATCTACGCAAGAGAAAAAATGTCAGTCAACTATCTGACCCAGGGTAACACAGGATAAAAGTGGGTTCTCGCCTATCGGTCTTGTAAGTCATATAGAACTCAAGAACACATCTGTATGAAGAGCATGTATTTCTCAGCAACCCATAAATCTATTGTGCCGAAAGTTTGTGAATTTAACGATTAGGACACTTAAGTGTTAGAACCAAAATGCCCTAACTGGATGCTCCATTTTCCGCGGTACAAGTACCCTTTTCTTATCATAGGTTACCCTAGTCAAACCTAGATTTGACTGCGATTGTTATCTTATTTTCAGAGGTACTACCCGTATCTTGTCAAACTTGGCTTTTTTGCTAGAATACAGAAAGCATGGTTTGGTCGTATGCATTACTCTAATTCGACTGGTTAGACCTGTCAACAAACGGTTTCTCTAAATTCAAGGGTTTGTACGTCTTTCCAGATATTAAGGAGTTTTAAGTCTCTTTCTAATATTTATAGCTTAATAATGTTGAGCACAAAAAAATAGTGTCAGAGCCCTTACTCAGTTATAGAATAGCTGTACATCACAGAGAGAGAAAAAATCTAGTAACTTGTAACTTTGGATCTTATTCAGTAAGTGTTGTAAAGAATCTAATGTTATTGGTTCAAAAACCATGTATGAATCATGGTGTATAATAGAAATTCTGTCCAACTTCTGGCCGTAAAATTTTACTTTTTGAGAGTGGCCCCTCATCTTAAAAAAAATTCCATCCAATTCTCTTCAAATTTTAATTGCAAAAGCAAATTTTCGTTGTTCCTAGGTATTTTATCAGTTCCGTCATTGTTTTTGTGTTTGACATCGCTACCTCGCATTTGAGTTGGTATGTTTCTTGGTCTCAATTGAAGGAAACTATGTACTCAGTCGAAAATTTTCTAATTTTCATTTCGATTTACCATGTCAATGAGACTGACAAATTTATAACAAATATTTATGCTTTTTCTTTCTGCATAGAGTTTATTACAAGCACTTTAAAATATTTGAGAATGTCTAATCAAATCGGTGCTTGTAAAATAGAATGTGTACTTAATTTTTTACTGCCCTGTAAATTTTTAACTCTTGTAAAATTATGACTGTACATTTTTAGTTAGGTAGTGAGTGGATTGTGATTTCTTTGAAGATACAATCAAAGTGAACAAATTGTGTTGAATTGTAAAAAGCGAATAATAATTTTGTACAAAAAACGGTTTGTATATTTTTCCTTTCCCTTCTTACCTTGCTTCTCGACATTATTGAAGAAGCGAAGTTCAGCAATCAATTTCTGTATTTTCTTTTTTTTTTGTAAATTTTACAGGAGCCCTGTGCTTGCTCAATTTGTATAATTCCTTACTTTTCTCCAGTGGCATATGATAATTTTTTTTCAGTTTTGTAAGTAATGAATAGACGCTATTAGTGCCACGTCACAGAAAAGCGACATAGATCAACTTTTTCGCATTGGTAGCATTGAAAGAGGTTATGCCAATGTTATTGTTTGGATCCAATTCGATATTATGGAGAATCCCTATAATGATGCGCCACTAATAGCGTGTATTATTTCATCTATTTTGATAATCAATAATTCAATATTCTTATAGTGATGCTTTTAAAATAATTGGGGTTCTATATGTAGGTATAAATTTATCACTAAGCCTGTAACAGGTAACCTTAGCCATAAAATGTACTATGTTTACCTGATTTATTTAAAACGAATGAGTAGATTAATGAACAATGCTCAATTATTTTCAATAACTCATTTTGTTTATTAAATTATCAAGAGTGAATAAATTACACTTCACCTTCACAATACTAAGAATTGACAAAATCATAAATTTTAAGAACTCAAACAAGGTGAATGAGAAGTGTTTCATGCAAAGTTTTATGAGAGCAGCAATTCTGACATTGCATGAATTTGACATAAAATGTAGCAAAATCTATCTTTTTTTAAAACTAATTATATAAATACATAATTCTCTCAGTGATCTTTATCTACAAGCTCATCTAATAGATCAGAACGTTCCAGTTAAAAAAAAGAAAGAAAAATCAAAAATCAATAGACAAAAATACGGATTTGTACAAACAACCAATTCCACTCAATAGTTGAGCATATTTAAAGTACATGATTATTTACCCTTTGGCAAGACTCAACACAATAACAATTCATAAAATTAAAAATAAAATTTATTAACACATCAAAATACTAATTTACATATTACAACAATCATCATAATTTTAAATAATTTATTTATACACATAAAACTTTTTCCTTCATACCTCTGCCTCTGGCGTAAGGGCGTATCCCTTTTTCCTAATGAGCCCTGAAGAGCATGGAGTTATATGAAGAACAGGGCTCTTGTAGAAATTGAGATACACCCTTATGTCAGAGGAACAACAATACGTAAATTTCCGAAAGAAAAAAATGAGGAAAAGGCGACTAACAACTAAGAGAACAATTCATAAAAACTCGACAGATAACATGGAAACAACATTAAAATAAATAAGTAAGTAGTACATCTGTACTTCTTGAAGTAGAGCAGTGAGCAAATTACACACATGTGCTTTGAAATTTAAAGAAAATTTCTCCCATCACGAAATCCATTCGTCCTTTTCACTGGGAGGCAAAAAGAGCTCACTAAATAGGTTATTAGGAAATATACAAAAACGAAGAAGGGAAAAAAGGGTAACAAGTACTTGCAGTTACTAAATATATTCATATGAACTTTTAAGACGAGCATATTCTGCATGATGGGTAAACTTTTAATAAGTCAACTTCTTTAACTTTCCATGAAGGCACTTAGATCATACCTTAAAACATTAAGAGGCTGAAAATAGATATTTTGATCATATCTATGGAAGGCACATTTTCTTAACATCTTTTCTCATTAGTTCTTCAAGTAAAAAGAGAAAAAGAACAATAAAAAAAGCAAAAATAAACTGTAGATAGGCACATTTAAGCACTTAGGTCAAAAAATTTTCAGTATTTTAATATGTGATGAATTTAATTAATTGGGTGAAAGTCAAAACTTGATTTGTTATTAACATTTTTAAGGTGTCAAGAAAATATGAAAAAAAAAAAAATAAAAATATGGCAACTTGAGATTAACTTTTTTCCTAACTACTTAGAAGGATTTTTTTTTTTTTTTTTTTGTTTGTTGCAAAAAAGGAATAATTTTTAGCAGTCATTTGAAAAACATGTAATCTAATTAGCAATGCAAAAGATGCAAAGATGTAAGTAATCATGAAATCCATCTTTAGTTATGTAAATACTAAACACCAGACTTCTTAACGCTACCATTTAAAATGTAAAGAGGGCAATCCAAATAATTTCCGGCAGGGAATACATATTGTATTGGAGAGAGAACTTATTCTTTTAAAGCATAGGAGAACAAAATATTTTCAGTTTTAAGGGTAGATGACATGCTTTTGTGATGACCAATTTAATGGATACAGGGACTCAGTCCATGACTAAAAGACATTTAAATAGATGGCAAAAACAATTCGAAGACACCAATATGGACACTATTTTTTTTTGGAGAATAAACAGGCACTACCTCCGTTGGCAGAAATTGTTCGTTTTGGGTGTTAATGACATCAATAAAAATAAAGAAAAAAAGTAATCATTCAAAATAAAGGGTAAATCTTAAACAAATTAAGCACTGAAGAAATACATTTGCAAAAAGTGGGCTCAAGGCACCTCGTTGAAGATTCCTTTTCCCCCAATCGAACCTCATGACATAAACTATGAATAAACGGAATTAATTTGCACATTGTCAGGAAGACATAAGATTGAGAGTGGGGACTTTTGCTCAAAAACTGAAAAGAAAAAGCTCATCAGTGGCACAGTTCCAATTACTGATGGGTCAAATAATGATGTGTTGAACATTACTTTGAGGAGAGCAACAGAAATGGAGGCAAGTATTGGGGACTTAAAGTAGGATAGTCTCTCTTTATGAAAAATTAGGTCATTACACTCTGCTCGATCTGCGCTTCAAGCAAGAGATGACATACATGCAGAACTATTTCTGGCCATGACAGATACTTCACCTCTCTACGTTAGTTCCTTTGCGTTCATCGCTATTGAAATTAACATGGGATAATATAATAAACATTACTTAGTATCTATAAAAAACAAATCAACGGTGATCAGTGCTAATGATATAAAATAACAAGTTCGCAGGAACCACTTTGAAAAACAGTTTCAATGGCATCATAAAAAATGTTTGAGACGAGACAATTTAGAGGTGAGTGGCTCGTTTCTTCTTGAATAAGGAAGCTAATACATTTGATCGTTTATCTTTGCGCACTATTGGTCCTTGTTGTTCACTTTCACTAGAGCTTTCACTGGGCCTGTATTGGTTATTATCATTGTTGACTTGCTGGTACATGTTGGCTGGTGGTGCATTGATGTAAGGCGGTAGAGTGGAGGCTCTTCCCTGAGGCTGGGTTGGTATTCCAAGGGGTTGCTAGAACATTTTAAAAATAAGGAAAAACATTAATGGCTACTCTCACAGTGACCCTCTTACAAAGCTACCATTGAGAAATTGTTAAAATGGTTGTTGTCGACTTAGCTAGATGAAAGTCCTAGCATGACAGGAGCATCGATGTGAAATCCACGCCTTTTTCCCATAACCATATTTTTGACAATCTAAAAGCGGTGACTACAACAATATATAAAATATCATGGTAAGAACCATGCCATGCTTCAAACCATGATAAGGGGGACAACAAGTAACTTTTACTTTATAAAACACGTTTTTTCTTGGTTTTAAAATTGATGTAGCAGATTCGGCTGATATGTAGAAAAAATGTTCTCAACAAAAGTGCTCTTGACTGAAATTAATGAAATCTGTCGTGGAAAGCTCAGCTATTTTATTTTAACAATAGATCCTGACAAATTTTCATTTCCTAGTTTTACTACACCATATGGTCACAAATTGCAAGAGTGACAATAACTGTTTACAATCATGTTCCACCTAATAAAATTTAAACAACCCAAACTTTCATTTCAATAATAGGATTCGTTCGTTACTTAGTTTAAAAGTTAGGAGGGGTGAAGCTGAAGATTTCGATTTTGCAAGTTTCATTGATATAAAGCAATATTCAATAACTAAAAAAACCGGAGTTTCGGAAGTTTACATCTGATATTGGCTGGAGTTATGAGGTGGGTTTTCAAGAGTTACGTTTATTGGCCGTTCAAATTTAATAATTACTCTTTCAGGGGGACGGCAAGACTTTTGCTTATCCTTACACATGGAAAAAAAAGAGAGAAGAAAGAGGAAGATAAAAAAGTTATAAGTGATACAACCCTGAACGGTCATTTAAAAATGTGATGGTAAAACTTTTTTGGAAACGATTTCTGGTATAAACCTAATGTAGAGATTATAAGACGGAAATATTTACCGGTCGTACAGCAGGTGCTAGATTTCCATAAATAGTGCCATGTCGATAAGATGAGTTGATGTCATTTGGCCATGGATCTCTTTGAGCGCCTCTTGTTGGAGGTGCTGTAGCTGGTAAAGGTGGAGGTGGTGAGGAAAGATCATACGAGTTCCTGTACTCTTGAACACCTCCATTTTGATGATGATTGTTGCGATTACTGTAAGATTGCCGCATTTGATTTCCATCGACTGCATCTGGAGAAATGAATTACATAAATACATACATTAATGTCGCATTTGTTACGGGAGAAAGAGAGGGGCAAGCTGTGAAAGCTCATTTGAGTCACTTCATAGAATAAATGATATCTTTTAATATTTTAAGGCACAAAAAATTACCTACGCTTCTTTTATTCCTTCATGCATTCATTCTTATTTTAAGAAGAAAACCGATATTATTTTGTTTGAAATGGTTTTTTGGCTGTTAAGTCATATTCTATAAAGATTGTTTCCTTGAACTGACTGAATTTTTAATATTTAAGATAGGTACATAATCAATCAATTTCTTATTTGAAAGTTCTAATTTTTGAATGGAAGATGAAAAAAAAAAAAAAAAAAAAATAGAAGTAGAAATATGTAGAGAGACTAGTCGTTACAAAGAGCAGAACTCCAAGATTTATTAAAATTTCCACAGGGATAAGGATGTGGTATGGATTGGTTTGGTAACAATGCCACAAAAATAAATAGATAAATAAATTACAAAATTTGTTAATACTTATTTTATTGCTGTGCCAAAACTTGAAACGCTAATCACTGTATCAATTGAATTTTCTTACCTATTGAATGCCTGTGCCTCAAAGGTACTGAGTTTGAATCTACCGATGGAGTTCGGACAGGAACAGGTGGGGGTGCGGTTCGCGGAGGTATTGGAGGACCTGTTGAGTTACTTTGTTTCAGACTTCGTCTTCGTTGGATTTCAGGAGACGAGCCACGACTTGAGCTTGAACTCACATCTCCTCCTACCAAGGTCGGAAGTCTATCAACACTAGGTGAATTCTGCAAAAGAGAAGGAATGATTTTATATTACTTTCAGAAAAGGGAATTTTTAAGTCAATTGTTGTAGTTTTTTAAAGAAACTATTAAAGAAATGCTACTTGGATATTTATGAATTCACAGTTTTGCCTGATCAAGTATGCATAAAATCTTTAACATTTAGTTTTAATGATAAATATGTTGGGAAAAATAGGGTTTCTCCAATCGTTTTGCTCTAAATAACTCTTTCTAGAGAGATACAATTACAAATCTCAATTTCTTAGCAGAAATAATAGATTTTATATAAAAAAATTCAGAGGAGATAATTTCTTCGGAAAAGTATCAATGACTTAAGTAAAAAAATGCATACCTCCATTGGAACATTGAAAGATTTCCGATTTTTTTAATTTATTAAAATGGAAATCAAAATTATTCTTTAAAAGGAAATTAAAAGTAAAGATTTGTGAATAGATGAAGTAACGCTGAGGCTTTTAAGAAATCTTTTTGGTTGGTTTTCTTATGGAAAAGAAGAAAAAAAAATAATAAATGTGAAAGGAGATTTATAGACGGTAGCAATCGGTGTTGGCATTTTACATCAGCCGTCAGTAGTGTACAAAAATAATTTTTCTTACTTTCTGTGAGTCATCGTAACTAAGCAGCTGCAAACTCGGAGGAAGTTGAGCATGAAAGCTTATTTTGTTCACCCAATCTTCCATTTCCTGCTCATTTGAAGCCAAGAAGAGGAATTCCGAGCCATCGGTGCAGTGTAACCGAAACACATGTTTCCTCTTTGTATAATCTTCCGCTTTTTCACAGCGAGCTTTGAAGATGATGATGGGCGAAGTAGCTGCTTTGCTTGCGACAAAGTCATCTTGGTCCTTGAAGAAGCATAATAGCTGACCGCATAGGACTGCAAAAAAAATACATACTTAACTTGGTAAAAATCGCAACCTACCATCAATGAATAGGTTAACATAAATTCATCATTGGAAACACGTTAAAAAGTAACATTTTAGAATCTAGAGCCAGAGAATAAAATGTGAAAGGGTGAAGTTAATGTATGTTTGACTTGCTAGTAAGCAAATGGTAACTTATCATACTACTTTCGGAAGAAAACCACAGTGTAACAAAAGGCAGGAATTACACAAATAACAGCGTAAACTGCTGGAGGAAATGGTCGGCTCTCATAATCGAAGCTATGACTGACTGCACTGTCATTTGAGTGCTTCCTGTCTTTTTAATTTGCCAATGAATTCAATCGGCACTTACTCCACTTGAGATAGTAGGTAGGGGAATCACAAGGATCGATAGCAAAAACCATTGCTATGAAATTCCAATAACCTTTTTTTTTTTTTCCATGATTTAGATTGGGTTGTCTTAGAAATCTCAGAGACTAAATACTCAAAAGGAAAGTCTCAACAAAACTTACCAGTGTACAATGTTTTCCATGACCTGACTGCAGCTTTCTTGCCGCCACTTTGAAGCTCATGCTTCCTGTCAAGGATACCCTGAATCTCGACAGGTGGTAGTTGATCAAGGTGCTCGAGCTTTTGCAGTTTCCTAAAGCTCTGCGTTCTACGCCTGGTTGTAAAACTGGGCGTTCTTTTTGGTTTTTTTGTTAGATCTGCTTTCATACTTTCAGCACGTTTGATATCTGAAATGTGAAGAATTTGAGTATGAGTCACGGTTTAAATATTGAAGGATAATCATCATTTGCAATCCGGTTGAACAGAACTACATACATCCAACAAGTATGACACTTTAGACTACAATAAAAATCTTTTCAAACAATTAACAAAATAATATGTGATAAAATCTTAGAATTTTTTTAATTGTAAAAAATGCATGGTGGATAATAACAGAAAAATTGCGTTTTGGGGTAGGAACTTCAAGGGATCATGCTGTCTGTGGCTTGTTTAACAGTCACAGAAGCAACATGAACTCATGAAAAAGAACGATAAACAACCGTAAAGGAATTAGGCTCCAAATGGTTTTGAATCCTTGGGAAATTTCAAACTTTTATGGTACAAAAAAGAATTTTAAATTAGAAGTTTCGGCCTAAGGAGCATTGAAATTGTATAAGTTGAAAATTCACTCTCTGAGAAAACTTGAGAATAAAACTCACCTTTTCGTCGATCACCGAATAAGGAGGAAATACTGCCAGCTTTCTGAAGAAGACCAGGAGCATCAGGAACTTGGAGCCTATGAAAAAGAAGAAAAATTGTGAGATACATTTTTTTAGCATACTATTAGAAGTTTAACTTGTGTTGTAGAAGATATTGCTCTATTTTTCGTTATCACTTTTACGCAGGAAAAGCCTCTCCATTCTGGCTCACAGTCAGCTAACCATTACAGTACTGGAAAGCCTAAAGATTCCTGCAGTTCAATAAATTGAAAATCTATTAATGAGATTTCAAGAGGCATAAAATCTTTTCCTGCATTGATAGTTCTTGAAGAGAAAAGTTATTGAATAACTATTTTGCTACATTGAGTAGGTGCTGAAAGCTGAAAAGTAATGTAAAAATGAATGGATTACGTCATACTCTAAAATACACATTTCTTGAGATCAAAAGACATGTTCAAAGTAACTTTATGAAGAATGAGAGGAGAGAACGATCTCTTTCATGCTCGATATTCTATTGTTAATTACTTAAGAGCTGAGAATCCAGTCGTGTTCTCGGGTACCTACTGTCTTCGTCAAAAGATAACATGTTCAAAAAAATAAAAACAGGATTACCAATGCAGGATGTAGTTTTATCAAAAATTGTAACTAGTTTTACATGGATGGAAGTTAAAGAATAATACACCATCACTTCATCAAAACTTTTCGTAATTTACGTATGATGAGAGTCAATTTCTAATTTGGGTGGGAAAAAATTAACCACATTCAATTAAAGAATGCCTTTCACATTTTGGCGTGAGTTTTAAACAGACACCATAAATATGTACGGGAGAAAATAAAATACATTGGCAAATTCTCTGCATAACTGTTCTATTTGACCCAAGACAGCATTCTATAACTCAATGTTATCCGACTGCAGTCCTCTGCTTCTAATCATTGAATATTACCTAGAGGATGTCATTGCTGATGAGTCATTTGTTTCTTCAGTGGTTGCTTCACTTTCATGGTTATCATTTGAAGGCGTAACAACAACGTCTGCGTTATGCGCTGTATCTTCAGAGGCATCTGATGCATGCAATGGTTCTTCCGGCTTAGTTGTCAGTAAAGCTGATGCTACACCCACATGCTGAGGACTAGGTACATGCAAATTATACACCTCCACAATTAAAAAGAAAATCGCAAGCAAAACACATTCAAGTTCTTGTTTACAGCATCTTTAAATATATCTTGTAAACAGTAAAACCTTAAGCATTCCTCAGTTTATCATAAAAGGCAATCATCTGTGGCAAAGATGGGTTATTCATTCAAGAGGCGTTAACTTCAATTTTATCAATCAATCAATTTTCTCAATTCTCTTTGAAGAAAAATGCAGGCTTAATTTTCTTCAACTATGAAAAATTTCGTTAAAAATTGAAGTTAACACACCTTTCCTGAAAAGCCTACTTGCCTGACTGATGCCTGCACTCAGCTTGACCAACGTTTTCTTAATGAGAAAAGAAATAGGAAAAAAAGAAAAAAAGCCCAACAATTCAAATCTGCCATTCATATCAATACATGCAAATTTACATTTTGTTACATATGTCTCTACGATAACAGTGCTTTCAGGGATAAGTTGTGTTTAAAAAAGAAAACTTTCATAAAAAGAGAGAGAGAAGAGGATGTTACTTCCATGCATATTTATTTATTTATTTTTCTTTTGATCATTCATCATTTTAGATTCATTTTTCCTTGTGTGCGACCACCTGCCATGCTGTTTTTAATTGAGTTACAGTTTTTTCCCCATTAACCAATTATGGTCGTTAAGTGTACTATCCCTATGAAGCATAATTTTACAATGAATGCTCAAATTGAACATTTTAAAGAGGTACCTCTGGTTATTACAACAGTGTGAGAGGGAAATGAATAAAACCCATGCATTTCATTTATCTCTTTTCATGTTTAATAAAGGCTCACGGAGAGAACATTTTCAGTTGCCATCAGTTTTAAATATCATTCCACAAATTGAAAAATAAGAGAGAAAATAAAATAAAAAAAGCATGCCTATTAATGGTACCAATACTATACATGCAATAAATATTGTCACAAAGACAGGAAACAAGCACCCTTTAATTGTGATACCAAGGACTTTAAATTACCTATTTTTATCGTGATGGTCCTCATCATTTTCATTAATTCTTCTCCTTCCATCTTCTTTGCGTCTTTCATCTGTGATACGTTGGACTTCTTTCCGTTTCCTAGCTTCCAGTTTCTCTTTCTCAACTCGATCCCTCTCAGCCAGCCTGGCAGCCATCTCTGCTTCTTTTTGTTTTGCAAATGCTGTTTCCAACTGTTAACGAATAAATGGATAAAATTAAACAATTCTTTTAATTTGGTTAATTGGTAGGAGATGCTCGATACTCGATTATTCACACATATAATTTGTTACTAAATGCACATAAATATTAAAATAGATTACATTTAATAGTCTAGTATCTCAAAATAATACATCAAATAATTTTTTTTTTTTAGTGATTTTAAAGATTCCTAATTTTTTTACTAAAGTCTGAAGTATCACTACTAAGTTTTAGGGAGCAATCAACTTCAGGACGTCTTACAAAAGCTGATCACTATCAGTCACAAAGTTGTTTGGAAATGTTTTAGCCCTTGACAATGCGCTATCATACACAGCATCAAACAAACGACAGAATAATTACAGTTTTGGCAAAACCATTCTCCAGGTTTTGTCTTCTTACTAGTTTTGGAAAATTCCAAAAAATCTTCCCTTGAAAAACAGGTAATAATGGGTAAAATATAAAGATAAGAGTAAAAATAAAAAATTGCTTACAAAAGCTTTAATGAGCGGGCAAAGTGAACTAAAAGGTAATTGCAACTCAATGCTTAGAGATAACAGAATTTTTTGCATTCGAAAGAAAACAGTCTGATTTTTCACATCAAAATTGATTAATTAATTAAAGGATTAAAACTTACCAAAGTGATGCGTTTTAGTGCACTAAATTTGTCTTCCTGAGCTTGGATCGTTTTCTCAAAATCTTCGTGTTTCCTGATTAATTCTTCTACTTGCGCGATTGAATCTCCAAGCTTGAAATCATTGAGAAGTGCTTCACGCGAGAGAATCCAACTTTCCAGTTGGTCCGCGTCTCTTTTGAAAAGCTGTGTATCTAAGTTTTGTTCATAAATTATTCTTCTTTGATTCCATGTGTCCAGTAATAGTTCATTTCTTTGTTCTAAAATTTTGATTTTCTCTTGAATTTCTCCAGCCAAAAAGTGACCCTGAAAGTTGGAAAGAGACATATTAGATGATTAAAACTATGAAAATTGAGAAGAAAACAATGAGCTGAAAAATATTGTTACCTGTTGCGGAACAAAGAATGGAAAAGAAAAGGGGAGGTCACTTGGCGTATCGACGACCATCTTAGACCTATAGGACTGATAGAGTGGTTCCAGCGCTGCCAATGATAGTAACCAAACAATACGTAATGAAAGCAATATACCGTCTTTCAATTAACAGGAATTCCTTGTTTGAAAAATATAGCTTAAAATTGTGTACCTGAGAAATCAGTGTATTTCCAGTCTTATAAAACGCAAGCAAAGCGTCTGATCTGCTGCCTATCTCAACTCTATGCTCTGCGTGTCTAGAGAGCAATAATTCTGCACCAGCTACATCCTGAGCTAATTCTGGAGCTGTGACTATGGCAATCATTTCATTTATCCATGCCCTGCAACAATTGAGACAAAGTCAATTATATTTAGACATTTTTGACACAATAAATACTGATTCTCATAGACCATTCATCATTCCCTTGATTTGTTTGTAGAACTATGCTCAATCTTCAGTCAATGCCCCCAGATTACTATATCTCATGTATCCATCAGTACTCTATTTAAATGCTGTAGAATCATCATAAGTGATTACTGCGATGCGAGTTCTATCTTTTGATTGCCTTCACGACAAAAGATGCAAAAAGTATGATGGTATTGTCTAGGTTTAAACTATTAATCAATGTTCAACAGCACAGAAGGAAATATTTCGATCAGTCTTACACAACCAGCATGTCTATGACCAGACTAAAGGCAGGGTGGAAATTTAGCTGCTCAACAAAAATAATGATTTGGTCTGCTTACGATAACAGATGGATTTAAAGACAGAAATCAGCAGCCTATTCTCTTTCGGAATATAAGAAGAAAAGAAAAACTTACATTAGATCTCTGTACTGATCAAAATATGCTTGAAGTTGCTCTGCTTGCTGCAATTTGTCCTTCCTCTGTCCAGCTCTCTCCAACAAAGAACTCCAAGCCTCAACAGTTTCTTCGTGCTTGACTTCTATGTGATCTTGCGCATCAGGGAAAAGTTCTGCCAGTCGTCGTGCCTCACTTACAACTGCTTCGACCTGTTTGGAAATATGAACAGAGTTCGTAAGAGTGGATTGATGATAATTTATTCTGGAGTAAAATTTACTGAAAACGTCATCTTCCGCATGAAGGAATGGATCTCATCTGCGCTGCTTCAGTATTTCTAAAAACATTTTATTTTTTCTTGGGAGAATTGTCTCACAAATTTGTCATGGAAAGCTTTCTTCTACTTATATTTTGTTCATTTAAATTCAGTGTAGTTAATAGACAGCAAAACAGAACTTTTTTGTTCAAAAAAGTTAAAGAGAGAGAGAGAGCAAGGATCTTACTTGTTCTTTGACAGCTGCCAAGTCCGCCTCGAACCCTTCATGTTTCCTGACAAGAGCTTGGATGGTTTCCAAATCATGGCCATAATCTTCTGCAGAGAGAGCAGCATCCTTTTCTAGAATCCAGGATATTGTTTCGTCAGCTGTTCTATCGAACACGTGGACTTGCTTAGCACCTGCAAGGGCCTGGAAAATGAATCATTGACACAATTAGAGATAAAGAAGGATTCCACTAAAAACTTTTTTGGAAAAATTCAGAGCTAAAACCCCCAAGGCTCATGTTAGACCAACTGACGGTATTCTCAGTTTGATTGAATTGAATTTACGAGTATGCGTAAAAAAAAAAAGTCAAGCTGGTTCAAGTCAATTGGCTCGTATTTTGATGTGGTTTTTCATTTAAAAAAATTGATCAAATTTATTGAACAAAAAAATAAGAGAAGCTATGAGGAAGTTATCTCTAAGGCATTGAACATACCTCTTGCCGTGCATGTGCCAACTCCTTCAAATCATCCCACAGCTGTTGAGTCTCATCTAATTTCGTCTGAATACGCTGAGACTCAGGGCTTCCTTCAGCGATTAGGTTACGACCTTGAACTATGCAACTGGAGACTCGTGATTCGTTGCCGCTCAAGCTGCTGAGGAAACTATCAAAAGTCTGAAAATTGAACAAGAAATGATAGATGCTTGCTCTTGATATTTTTACAATCAAGAGAGACATTGAAATTGTTTTATACGAAAAGCTAGCATACTCTTCCAGATTTAAATTTATTTCTTCATAAGTTGTTATCTTTAAGGCTTCATCCAAGGGGAGTCATTTTGTCTTATACAACTTTCAAGAATCAGTATTTCAATTCTATTTCATTGCTACTTAAAGTCCATATTTTCTACTTATCCAATTGAAAAAACTATACCAGTCAGTAAAGGTACTGTAAAAGACTCAGCTCATAAATAGAAATGATAAAAATGTATTAAAGCGGTAACTGGTTCAGAACAGTAAGTAAAAATTAGTAAACAAATCTCTGCGGTGCTTCAAAACTTGATTGAATAAACATAATATGATTACAAGAAGAGACGAGGATTATTCTAACTTACTTGAATAAGCAATTCTACATGTTCAACATCCCGGCCATAATCTTCGGATGCAGCGACAGCAGTTTGGTCATTCATCCATTCTGCGACCTCTTCCGCTTCTCGTAAGAATCTGTACAACTTTTTGCTCTCAATCAAGCGAGTTTCACGATGTTCAGCAAGTTTTTGAAGCTCTTTCAGCTGATTTTCGATTTCAACTTGTTTCTTTTCAATATTTTTGCTATCAAAATGACCACGATCAACGAGGCCTTTTTCTAATTTGGCTAAGCGGCCAACCGTATGCTGGAAAGCACCAAGCTCTCTTTCGACTCCCTCTAATTTTTTCAAAAGAGACAGAACCGAATCCTCATCCTTTCCAAAGTCGTTGGATGTTAAGATAGGATGTTTCTCACGGAGCCATGCTTCTGCTTCACTTGCTTCAGCATAGAACATTTGTGATTCGAGAGCATCAAGCAGCCTTAGCCTTCTGACACTTGCAATATCTCTGAGATGGGACAATTTCTCTTGGAGGTTGCTAGATGCTGTTTTGATACGAGAAGACGCAAAATGACCACTTCGAATCATTTGCTGGGCCCGACTAGATAATGCTGAAACCACAGGCTCTCTGGAGACTATCTCTGCTTCCAAGGCCTGATGTTTCTTCTGCAGACTCTGTACAGCGTTCAAACTATTTCCTAAGTCGGATGATGCAGCTAGGGGCTCCTTTTCATCCAACCATTGCATTTCATCATCAGCATCTCGCAAAAACTGATACAGTAATAAAGCATCTTCTAGATTATCTCTACGGATTTGCATTGGTTCTTGCAAGGAGCGATACCTAAAACAGAGAAACACATCACTTTTGATTTCCATGCATTAAGGAATTACAAATCTTTTGTTCGAGAAAAGAAAAAAGACTCAAAGAACTTTCCAAATATAGAATGAAAGGAGAAAAAAAAGGACTAAGGAATAAAGTAAATTTTCTAGTTAATTGGGATTTTAGATGAGTTCAAATTCAATGCGCTTATAGAGTGAAATAGAGATAGAATTCACATGTGCCCCAGGGTGCTTCTTCAACTTGCAATAATTAGAAACCAAACTAAGCTGTAAACATACCTTTTTATAACGTTGAGCGCTCGTTCTTGAATTTCATCCTTCATGAAATGATTTGAACGTTGGAAAATTGCAGCAGTGTCCTTCAAAGTTTCACATTGTTCACTATGACTGTGAATGTCAGTTTCCAAAACTGTGTGCCGTTTCAACAGATGGGCAACGCTGGACAAGTCTTTTCCATGATCTTCTGATTGTAGTTGGCTCTCTACTTCATCGATCCAATTTTCAAGTTCTTCCAAAGTTCGGCTGAATAGTAGAGCCTGTACAAGAAAAATTGATAATATTAAAATAACTTCACAAAACTATTTGCATTAAAATTACAGTTTTTTGCTAGTTTCCATACTAGCTGCAATAAAGTTAACAAATAATTGGCACAACATTTTAGCAATATGGTGCACTATTGCTAGAAAGCATAAAACCTACCTAATGATTTTGGTAGGTAAGACATAAACTGACGATTCTGCGGTTGCTAGAAACAACGGAAAAATCCATGAATCGCAGGGTTTCCATAATTTCTTCATTTTCCAGTTCCATGACTTTCCTCGATTTTTTCTTGATTTTTTTTTTTAGGGGCTTTTCCTTGATTCCAAAATTTCTGAATTCCCTGACTTTCAATCTAAACTCTTTCACTTAGATTGTTTCCATTTAATTATCCTGACTTCTGCTGAATTTGGGCAAGATTTCCACTTTTGGAGATTCAAATGATGGTGAAAGGCACTCGGAGATTGTTCCTGCTAGCTCAGATGGCACCAGCTGAAGATGCTGAGCTGAGGCACTACTCACTGAATTTCCTGACTTTCCTAACAAATTTTCTGACTTTCCCTTGTTACCATGTATTCCCGGACTTTCCAGGTTTTAAAGACTGCCAGAAACCCTGGGTTAGTTGCTTCCCTGTAAAGACTGTTGATGACTCAAAGGACTCTTCAGGAATCAGTAAAATTAAATTTTTAGAAAGTTTAATTTTGTTTTCATCCTACTTAAGAGGGCATGCGTCAATTTTTTTTCTGCACAACTGGACACAGAAGTGAATAATGCGAATGGTATCAGAGATGCTCATTATCACAGCCATAATGAAATATGAATAAAATTTTTTTACCTGGTACGCATCATTAAGCCGCTCTCTTTTCAGGGCACTAGCCTCTTGAAGTTGCCTCCATTCAGCCTCAAGTTCGTCCAGCCTAGCTTGGATTTCCATTCCTGCGAAGTGTCCAGCAGCTATCAGAGACTCTCCTTCAGTGGTAACATTGTTCACTCTACCACGATTGGCTGCCAGCTCTGATTCAAAGGCAGCGTGTTTTTGGATTTTGCTTTGCAGGTTTGTTGGGTCTCTGTAGTTTTCATCACAAGCAATCTGCTGCTTTTGCAATAACCATCCTTCAACCTACATTTCGAAAGAATGGTTTTATTGATACATACATAACATAATAATTAATAACCGAAAGGTCTCAAATCGTTCAATTTTGGGATAAAAAGTAAGTCATTCAAACTTCAGATACATAAACTTTCAAGATCAAACTTCAGAACTGGCTTGGTCAGTTAATTGAAAAAGCACCTCTTTTTTTCCATAAAGGATAGTGAGAGTTAGCAGTAAGCATGTTAAAACTCAATGAGTAAGATAAATCTAGGATTGATCACTTTCTCAGACACCGCCTTAGTCCAAAATAATGCGTGTCTGATTGGCCAGATTGATCCTGCTAGTAGTGAAAATCGATGGATAAAAGGGTTGAATTGGTAGAGTGAATTTTGGAGACAGTATACTTAAAAGGCAAATATTTGTAAGAGANGCCCCCCCCCCCCCCAAAAAAAAATCAACTAAATGATAACTAAATATGGACAATTAGACATTCGTTACGGAGAAAAAATACTAGTTTAAGGAGGGAAGCATTTGAACCTAAAATTGCTTTTTAAACTTTCTTTTTTATAACATTCAGAGAAGAGTAAAATATTATCAAAAAACTTCTTACCTCATACATATTTCTGAGAAATTGCTGAAGCTGTCTTGATTCTTGGAGGCGTCTTCTTCTTGCAGCAGCGGCTTCTTTCAAGCGATCTCTTCGGGCGCAAACCGACTGCAACCTGGCCTGAATTCCTCCACTGTCATAGTGATGATCCGCCATAATTTCCACAGCGAATTTCTCTAAATCTTCAAGACGGCTCAGTTGAGCTGCTATCGTCTTTTCAAAAGCCTCGTGTTTCCGAAGGAGAGCTTCCACCCCAGACAAAGAGTCCTGCAAGGTACAATTATATTAAATTAAGAATGTAAAGGTTCATTATGTATATGAAATCAATAGAATGGAATTTATTAGATTTTTATATAATTTTATTTTGTATCCTATGGCAACGGTCATGATTTTATATGTGTAGCATACTTCAGTACATCTTTAAATAAAAAAAACTCCTGCACTTAGGATCGAGAGATCTTGGCTTTTTTATGTAACAAGATGACCAAAAGGTGAATCCTAAATTCCCTGACCCTTCAGAGAGAATTCCGTTCCATACAAAATTCCTTGACTCATCAACATTGCAAACAAGTTTTGATCTCAAAATTCCCAAACTTTCAACGGACACTTGCGCTGCGCGCCTGCTTTGTTTGGCAGAAGTACAAAAAATGGTGGGAATCAGGCGAGGCGAACAAAAAAGCAGTTCATTTTAAATGCAATAAAGAGTATTAGTGGACAGTTTTTTCATGTCCTCTGCGTCATGTTCACATTTAAATTCCCTAATTTCTACCGGATTATTTTGCATTCCCTGAAATTCGCCTTTTTTGGCCCCCAGCATGTCGTCTGAAGAGATGAATGCAATAAAGGAAGGAAAAAATTGATTGAATACTCACTCCGAGGTCCTCATTGTTCAAAAATGCTTCTTTAGAGGCAAGCCAATTTTCAGCTTGATCAGCCTGTTCCTTGAAAATTTGAGACTGCAGTGCTTGATTTAGCTTCTGTTTTCGTTCTTCCCATGCAGCACCAATTGTTCTTCTGATTTCTTCAAGATGAGCTAAGTCTTCTTCTCTGGCTGGCGTTAGTTGAAGACCAAACTCTTTCAATGCCTTAAAAGTTTCTTGCCTTCCATCTATTTCCGCCTAAAATTTGAGCAAAGCAATAAAATTAATTGAGAACAAAGTAGGTAAAAAAGATGAGTCTTCATCTATTTTATGACTCACTTCACAAACATAATTGACAATTAAACTAACTTAAAAAATCATGAGCTAAGCTTTAAGAATTTCAAAACCTCAAAACTCAATAAATTAATAAATTTAAAGATGGTAAAAACTGCGACAACTGGTAGGATCTGGATGAATTTAAAGTTCAATTGATATTTACAATGAGGAAATCAACTAACCTTTCTTTCATGATGAAGCTCCAACATTGCTTTCGCCTCAGCGATATTGTTTGGAAGGTCACAAGCGTCTATCCTCTTGATAGTGTCAGCAACCCAAAGCTCCAGCTCACGCAAGTCAGCTGAGAATTTATGATTCGTGAAGGCTAGGCTTAATTTTTCTCTCCTTGTATGGGATAAGGACTGGAGGCTTCTCCATTTGTCCTGTAGTTCAGTCAATTTAGCACGAATAGGTCCACTCATGTCTGGATACTTTTGGACTAGTCGTCGGCATTCTACATCATGCTCCTGCAAATGAATGGAATTAATTACCTAGAGTTTAAACTAAAGAAATCCAAAGAAAAAATAAAAATTTGAGGCAGCTAGTTAAAGCTGCAGGAGAAGTAGAAAAGGAAAACGTAAAATGTGTTCGTAAAATCATCACAATGAACAAGTATGTGAATAAAATAAAGATTCTGAATACCGTTTGACAACATTTTGCTTTTATATTATCTTAGGGCAAATCAATATGTTTTGAGCTACACCCACTTATTTTGATGGCCTGAACACAAAAAAAAAAGAATAAGTTTATCAATTCTTCCTGGTATTGAAGTAAAATATTGATATTAAACATTTGCCAATAGATATTCAACTGCTCAATTGGGCAAAAAATGTACGTAAATCTACCTGAAGGGCATTTCCATGGAGTCAGTGAAAATTCTTTCTTTGGGTGTTGCCTCTTTCCGAATAAAAATGCAAACTAAAAGTTGTCCAGCCGTGGACCACCACTATGCGTACTAGTGTTCATTACAAGATCAAATTCAAGCTAAATATAGAGCTGTGACTTCATGAATAATATTAGAACATACCTTAATTTTTCCTTCGATGGCCGTCATATCTCGTTCTAAAGCATCTTGTTTTCTTTGTAACTGTTGAACAGCTGCTAGATCACGGCCTGTGTCCTCTGTTCCCATGGCTACAGCTTTTTCTGCGACTCGCTGTGACGTATCATCAACATCTCTGTTGAAAGCGTGAATTTCCAGTGCTCCTGCTAAATGTTCTCTGTATTCAGTTAGAGCTCCTTGTAATGCTCGCCATCTAAAAAATGGAAAAAGATAAACTTTGAAGCGTTTCCCGATTGGACATACCAAATTAAAATCTCTTCGCCACATATGAATTCCTCTTGATACTGAGCGAGGTCAGGAGGTCTTGCTAGGCTTATAGGAGTGTAATTATGAGTTTTGATTTACCTGGAGTAAGACCTGAAGGAGGCACAAAGTGTCTCTTTCATGCTCCAGATTATTTTCATTAAAAATTAGGGTATTACTTTTCACAAGCTTAATAATGGAGAGCATAGATTTAAAGTACACTTCATTAGAAAGTATCAATAATGAAGGTAACTAACTTTCTGATGGAAGAAAGACCTGTGAAGTACCTCGCCGAAATTTCACCATACAAAGAAAATGATATCTATACAAATATACGGTAGCTCTGAGCTTGGATTTCTGTTTATCATCCTAAGAAATCTTCTCTCTTGCCTTCTATGGAAAATTCACTTATTGATAGCTTCTACACAAAATATTTTTCTGACATAGATACTTGATAAGAGGGAATAAACGGACACTTACGGACATTACATTACGGACAACTTGAGACTTGACAAAAGTATCTTACTTGCAGTTGAAGTTTTCCCTTCTCTGCTGAACGGATCGGGTATCGCTTCGCCCTTGTCGAATTAGTTTGTCAGCGAGCGAATTAATTTGCCTGATTCGAGAATCATCAACTCGCATGTCGCTGTCTACGTCATCCAGCTTGCGTTGCAGAGCAAGGCAATGCTCGTAGTCTCTACCCATTTCTCCAGCTTGAACCATCATTTCCTGGAAAAAAAGAAGAAAAATCATTGAACTTAAAAAGTCCAAACGAGAACTAGAATTTTGATGAAAGGACTCCAGTGCTATCTATTAATTATAGGTGCACAAACGAATCTTACGGTGTTTCAGCGTCCAATTGGCCATTTAACACTTACTGACGCATAAATGCATCTGATAGTTGTGCTTCAGCACCGACGAATAGGGCTCTGGGCAACTTTTATGTGCTACTGACAAACATTACTGCAGATTCTTTAGCTTTGGAATTAATATAAAAGCATACCTTGTCTCGAATCCAAGCTTCAATTTTATCAACTTGATTATTGAACTCTAGAATATCTTGAGCTTCTTCTAATCCTTGACCTCGATTGTTAGAGGCTTGTAGTAAATTACGCCATGATGTTAACAGCTGCTCTAACTGGGCTCTAATTTCGTGTGATGCTTTGTGTTTCTTAGCCAATAATGTTTCACCTGGAGAAAATAAAAGACAAAAACAATTATAGGTAGTCCTAGAAATGAATGTTTATTTGATTTTTTTAGGGATAGCAAGATCCCGTTCCGTTACTATGGGATTAGGAGGATAAGTCCTAAATAACCGTCTAATATCAGTAGACTTTTATTATTGTAACTTTGGTCCTGTCATACATGAATTCTTACGGATATCAGGGCTCATGTCAGAATGGATGTAATTCCTCTTGATTTAAATAAGTCCAAATAAGAAACTCGTCAATTACCTTTTTCCTTAATGGTTGTAATTCTTCCTTGGTTAGCAGAGAGTTCTGCTTGGAATGCTTGATGTTTCTGCAATTTCTTAATCTTATCTTCTAAAGAACTAACTTCTCCTTGGCTGGCTTCAACTTCCAGCTTTTTCTCTTTCTCCCCAATCCAAGACTCGGCCTGAAAATAAAACCAATTTTAGTATTCGCAAGAATCATAATTATCATCGTAAATTTTGTACCAGACTCCTCTCCTCTTGATCCTAAAGTTTTTTTGTTAGGATTACCTCTGAAATCCTATAAATAAAATAATATAAAAATTTAGCCAATTTTTCAATATACATTTCTTCTCTCGCATAGCCTCTTACTGTTTATTTAATTTTGTTACTGTAAAACCCCACTCATAAAGGAGGATATTTCCTGTTTTTCTTCCTTTCCAAAGTAAGGTTGAAATAATTGTAAAAAAGGTAAAAAGAAGTGAACTTACTTCGCCAACGTCTCTGACAAACTGCGCATACAGCAAGGCATCATCAAGCAGTAATCTACGAAGTTCACAAAGCTGTTTTACTTTTGCTCTTCTCTTCAAGACCTCTGCGAGTCGCCTTGCAATGATGCTACTTTCGAAGTGATTTTGAGCGAGCAATTTCTCACTGTGTTCTTGTAATGCTATTACTTTTTCCTCCTGGGTAGCAAGCAATTTTTCAAATGCATCATGCTTCTTGACAAGGATGGAAACCTCATCGACTGAGTCACCTAGGATAACAGAAAGCAAGTTTAAGATTCATTACGTATGTATAAGCACAATCCATTCAGTAACTGTTAGTTTAATGATGACAAATTATGAATTTTTAATCTCTTGTAATCTGTTGTGAAAGGTATAAGGTAAAAAGGTATAAGGTATAAGGTTGTATGAGGTAATTAATAGATACATACATGCATGAATGAATTAAACAAGTTCCCTTGAGTTAATGATACTTATGAAGAATACTTACCAAAATCAGGATTAGAAAGAGCCACTTCTTGAGCAGCACAGAGTGTATCAATTTGCTTGGCATCACGCAAGAAAAAGTGGAGATCTATCAGTTGATCCAGATGAACTTTTTTATGCTGCCATGCTGTGTGAAGATTTTGCCTTTCTTCCAATAACTGTCCGAATTTTTCTTGGATTTCCTGATTATAAAAAAAAAAAAAAAAAAAATGAGAGAAAATAAAATAAAGTCTCAAAGAAATCCATTATCTAGTTACGAATGCTATTAATTTAAATTAGCCAACCAGCTGTTCGAAGTCAGACTGAAACTTGGAACCGAAAATGTCAAAAGTAACTTCCTTAGGAATGAGCCTTGACTTGGCAATTCTTATATCCAGCACATCCCTACGACCATGAAACGCAATCGTGAATGAAATCATTTTAATGTACAAACTAAATTTTTCAACTCAAAATGTTTTAGTGACATTTAAAAAAAATAATCTTGGTGCTTTTTTCTGTGATCCTAAGTGGAAAATAATGCTCTTTTTTAGATATCTGTTGGTATAAACAAAGTTTGACGGCTCATACTTTACACAGTCAAAAAACCTCCCGTTAAGAAACTTACATTGGCTGCATAGTGACCGCCTTGCACGAGAGCTTCTCCCAATTCCATGACAGTCTGAAAACTTTCTTCTCTAGCTTCAATTTCTGCTTTGATGGCATCATGTTCAGCTTTCAAGCTCTGAGCACTTGCAGCGTCGCGAACTTTCTCTTGTGTCATCATGGCTGTTCTTAATTCTGATACCCAATTCATTAGATCTCGAACCTGAAAAATTGAGAATATTTTTTTACATTCTAAAAACCTGATTGGACTAATACATAAGCCACATAAATGGTTATCAATATTCATTGGCTTTTCTCGACCAAAAACAGAGATACATATCTCAGGGTTCACAGTAATTTTTAAATCCTTAACTCTCCATATTTTTCTGACACATTATGCAGGGATAGAAAAGGCAGCGCAGACTTCAGTGAGAAGCTAAAATTTCAATTTATCTATTATCATTATTATAAAGTTTCAACATTTTTGCGTTATGAGGACTTTTGTTTTCAATTCCTAATGTTTTCCATGTTTTTCTCTCCCTGTAACATTAGAATCCTTTGTTTCTTCTGGCTGCTAAGAACCCTGGGTTTACCTTCTTAATAAAACAGTGAAGGGAAAAACTGATACAAATTTATGATAAAAAATATGAACACAAAACGTGACTATGAGATGTGTTGCTTGCTTCTGCATAGTTTTACTTTGAAAGGAGATGTGGAAAACTATAGAGACTTGTAGTTGAAAACAAATGAATTCTTACCTGGGCTAAAAAGCGGTGAAGATCACAGCTGGCTTGGAGTGCCTCTCGTCGATGAGCTGAACGCTCCTGTAACTTGCCCCACTGTGCAATGACTAGATTTTGCTTTTCAGCAATATGTGAGGCATTGTTACCTGGATAGAGCGCCTGAAGTTTTACTGCATCTTCGACTAATACCTAAAAGGAGCAAAATCACCGGTCTATTACTGAAGTCTGAGGGAAGGTAAATTATTGAGAGACACCTTTATCTTTCAAAACAAAGTTGTAAAAAATGCATAAGAAATAATTGAGAAAGAACAAAAAGAGGAAAGAAAAGTTATAATTGTATGGGTTTAGAAAATATATTTTAAACAAATTATTTAAAATTAAATTTTTAAAAAAAATAGGTAAGTAATCAAAAGTTTCTTGCAAACAGAAAAAAGACCTTGGAAAAGCATAAAAAGAGAGATGCAATAATTCTGTTCCAAGTCTTACCTGTAATTGTGCTTCTAGGGCAACCAAATCATTCTCGAACCCTTCATGTTTCCTGATTAATGTCAGGACAGAGTTCAAGTTGCGTCCAAGATCGTCAGAGAGCATGGCATCTTTGTCATTGATTCGAGAGAGTGCTTCTGCGACATCCCGATGGAATCTGTGAATTTCTCCCGCAGCATTCAACCGCTGCTCTCTATTGTCTAATATATTCAACAGCTGTTGCCAAGACTCACTGAAGAAACAAAACCAAGAAGAAAAACTTGAGCGATATGATTGACAGGAGCTTTTGGAGAGTCTTTTTTGAGAGGAAAGATATGGTTTCAGTTTCTGCTGCGATCAATCCTCCATATTCGCCATGATCGTTCTTGATGGTACACACTACTTGACAACTCATTTCTCTTTTCAGACCCTTGATGAAGTAAAATCTTACTCTATAGTATAAAATCATAAGCGCACCGTGTCACGCTAAGGGTGTCACGCTGAGGGTGTCATGCTAAGGATGTAACGCTCAGTTTCTCCTCTACTCCCCGCTCCCCTCCCGCCGCGCACGCTCACATGCTTCCCACCGTCTCCAAACCGGGTTTTCCCTAACTCTTAATGATCTTTTAACGATCTCACGATATCTGCTTATTAGAGGCGCGAAGCGCCTCTGGGGGGTTGGACCGCGGAGCGGCCAGGGGGCGCAGCCTCCTAGTGGTATATTGACATATTAGAGGGTGGACCACAACTTTTCAGCGATTTTGCATCATCAGGTGGTGCAGAAAGAAATCTCCTTCTTTTTCTCTCCTTACTCATAGAATTTAAATCAAACTTTTGAGACAGTTAAAAAAATTACCAAGTGTTCATCTAGCTGGAGAGAACTTAGTCGGATTCAAAAATCATCCACCATTCATGGCTGACAACAGTGGTCTAGTCTTTTGAATACTTAATAATTCTTGTTAATTTTTTCTTAAATTTTTCCGAAAAGTACTTCTGCAAATGACTCACGCAACCTAACAAAGAAATGTGAAATAGGAGGAAAAATGTTTACCGAAGTTGTTCTTGTCGTTTTTCAATATCTGCAATGTAAGGACTCTCATTTGCAATTAGTTTCTTTGCAAGTTCTTCACACTGAGTGAATCTTTCAGAGCCAGCTTCTACTTTATGTTTCAGGTCATCAAATTTATTTTGAAGGATCTGTAACAGAAAAAGAAAGTAGATCATCAATATCTTGGCAAAAATTGACGATGTTTACATCAAGTTAAATAGATATTTCAGAATTAAAATATTATCCTTCACTTTTCTGCAGGTTTCGAGGGTAAAATATTCACATGAAAAAAAAATAATTCAAAAATTTAAAAGCGGTAATACTGTAATACAGTTGCAACTGTCAAAGCGAGGAGCTTTACTTCATACCACTTTGTTATACCCTTTAACTTACCGTGTTTTTTTCTTCTAGCCAAGCATCTGTAATGATTCTTTTATCTTTAAGTTTACAAAATGTTTAGATCATTGCCGTCATATGGGGACGTCCATAAAATGCATAACGCTGAATTTCAGATTTTTTTACTCCTTTTGTGATGATTTGGTGATGTAGGTCCTTGTCCTTTAAAACTTAAAAACAAGGTAGCATAACGCTCTACTCCACCTCTTCTTCTAAAGCGTTGCATATTTTATAGACAGCCAATATAATTTTATATTAAGGTCTGAGCCTGCTGCACGAAAACATAAAAATAATAGTAATAATTTGGGATCCTTCCTTTTTATTTAGTCATAAAATGTAAAAGTCCATTTTTTGCAACAAAACGGAACTTTGATTTTCACTTGCACAGGAAAAAAATTACTATAAAAACGATCTAGGAACAGAAACACAAGGGGTTTCGACATCAGAATCCAAAAAATATGAACAGAACTAGACGTACCAGAAGATGTTCATAGTCAGTTCCATAATCATCGGTGGCAGCAGCCTGCATATTTTCTTTGATCCATTCTTCTAACTCGCTACTTTCCATCAGGTATTCATGCCGGCACATGCTTTCCATCAGTCGTTGTTGTCTGGCGGTTGCTAACTTTTGTAAAGTCTTAATTTGTTGGCTGATGGCTTGTTGTTTGCTTGATATTGCTTTCCAATCTGGATGTTTGCTATTTACCATCGCAGATGCAGCATGTCCCATTTCTGTGACAATACTGCTGTAGGTATCTAATTCCAACTCCAGCGCCTAAAACCAAAGATATGAGATTAAACCTTGGCATTAACGACCAGAACTTTTTAAAGCTAAAAATATTTATGATTAGATTCAGAAAAAGAAACATTTCACAGAAAATTACCAATAAAAATAGCAATTATAAATTTTCAAACATAATTCAGATGAAGTTTTTATCCCAGAAGAATATTCTAGCCTATTGTAAAATAAGGTTCCAGAAACTGTTATTTTCTGGAGAATATTCTTCTCTCGGAAAATGTTGATCTAACCTGGTAGCAGTGTATTGGACTTCTAAGCAGAATATCAATTTACTTTCAATATTTTGATTGAGAGACTAGCTTTGGATTGATTTCTTGCATAAGATGTCAAAATTAAAATTCAGTTGGTAGGATGCCAGAAAAATTCTTACATTTGACTATTTTTTTTAAATGGTTAAGTATTACACTGATGATGTTAGTTATTTTTCTGCACTAAGCTTAAAATCGGATCTGTCAACATTGAGGTCGAAAGAGCATTTTGAGGGTATCAAACACAATTTATTATCACCGTTGTGATACAGAAAATGAATGAAATAAACAGCACAATTTCTTAGACACGCATTTACTGGACTAAAAGTCGAGTGGGCTCTGTTACGCAGGACCTTAACTTAAAAATTTTGCTAGGAGACTTAAAAATTCAAAGTAATCACAAAAATTGTCAAGTATTTTAAAATTCTAATAATGAAAAAGAAACAATACACACCTTGTGTTTTGTCAATAATTTGGAGGCAGCATCCCTATCTCGACCATAATCAGTTGAGTTTAGCAGATCATTCTTTTCTGCAAGCCAGCTTTCAACTTCACTTGCCTCAAAGAAAAATTGCTGCGCTTTCAAGGAGAGTTCCAGCTTGCGACTTCGTTCTGCTGCTTTCAATTTGAGATCTTGCCAAGCATCCTCTAAGCCGGTGCAGAGGGATGTAACCTAAAGTTTAAATAAAAAAATAAAATTTGTATTATAAGTACTTAAAAATATTTTTTGGACTCGTTATTTTCTTTCCAGCTTAGGTTCTAGAAAACTGTTGGCTTAAGAAAGAACTGATATTTTATAAAACCTACCTCATTGTTTGATGTTACCAGACATTAAAAGTTACATTTACTTATGGATACCTTCACTTGAACTTTTGAAACTCGAGAAACAAGGGCCTAATGTTGGAGAAAACAGCAAAAAAAATGAGGCGCTAGGTAAAAAAAACTAATGAACTAGAGTTCCAAAAATTTTACTGGGGGTAGATCACCATTCTGATGAATTATGATTTTTCTGATGAAACTGCTGCTTCATTCACAGCAAAAGGATGTTTAATCTTTAAAAAAAACGATAGGACTAAAATAATTTATACCTGTTTGGTTTCGGGGTGTTTTTGATGAATTAACGCTTGACCAGATGCTAATGTTTTGTCAATCATTGGCTGATGTCCTTGGATTTCTGCTTCTAATTTGCGGTGTTTCTTGTGTAATGACTGGGCCTGATGAAGATTTTGACCGAGCGTCTCAGAGGCAGCCAAAGGTAGATGCTCTCTAATCCAACCCAGTTCCGTCTCTAGTTCAAAACCAAATTTATGGAATCTCAGTGATTCTTCTAAAGCTTCACGCCGCTGTCGAGCAGGCTCCTGTAATGAACTAAACCTGAGAAGAGAAAAAGAAAGATACATGATGATAAGATTGCAAGAGGTAATTTTCGAAGAGACCGAATAGAAAACTCTGCAAATAGGACATTTTGACTTGGGTATAAAAAATCTGAAGTGAATGGAGGGTTTAAGAACAAAGCACCATTGAATTTTAATGATACATTATGTACTGTGAGTAGCATGATAATAAAGGGTTGAAAAACGTTATTTGGTCGTAGGTATTTTTCATTTTCCCCCTTAAATTTATTCAATAAATTTCCATGTTGCAGCTGAAATATGTAAACCTATTATTCTTCCGCAAGGAATCTGCTGAACTAAACTGTAACTGATTGTGAGCTCCATCCCTTAAATTGGTATCAATTCTTGCAGGGGTCGACAATGCTCCAAGAAATTATATTTAATGATAAAAAATAATTATAACACTTACTTTTCTTGGCATTCTTTACTGGCTTTTAAAATATTATCAGCATCAAAATGTCCTTCTTGGGCCATCTCCAGACCAAGCGTAACAAAATCTCCAATTTTTTGCTTCCAATTTTGAATGTCACTTTCCAAAACCTGCATTAAAAGAATAATTTTTTTTAAAAGTTGAATTTTAAAAACCTGTAGTAAATTTATATCACATACATCATTTCTATGAATTACTATTTGAGGAATTCTATTTTCTGAAACAACAACTATAAATTAGATATTTTTTCTGTTGTACAGATTTTTATTTTCTTTCATTCTTTCATCTCCATTTCTCCCTGTAAGGCAAAAATGTGACTAAGTCACTTTAATTTAATGTACTGAGGGATTTGAACGACAGTTTAGTTATTACATTAATTAATTCTGTTACAAAACTAATTAGAGTGACACTTCATTCGAAAAAAAATTGTGTACGATGCTTCATTAGAGGCAAAGTGGCACAAAACAAATGTTGCATTGCAAATTTAGCCTGAGGCAATCAAGGAGAAGGATAAGAGGGGAATCGATCTCTCAGCAAATCTTCTCTAAAAATGCCTTAACTTACTGGGCATGGACTCTACCTTAAAATTCCATTACGAAAACATGGTGCTCTACTACTCTAATGCTTAAAGATGTGCAATGCTTTTATACGGATTAATCTATTTTAATCAAAGAGGTTTTGTTCCTTACCTGGTGTTTTTTGATTAGTTGCTTACAATGTCGCAAATCAGATCCAACTTGGTTAGACTGTAGGGACGTTTCAATTTCTTCTAGTTTAAGTCGGGCATCATCTAAAGTGCGGTTGTAGGTATGTTGGGCAGATGCTTGTCGTAGTCTTCTTCCTTTCTCAACACAAACTTCAACCAGTTTCTCCCATGTTTTGTTCAAGTCGGATAACATCTTTCCGACTTCTTCTTTCCGGTAGTTATCACTGGCTATTAGTGCTTTACCAGCCTAAATGTTGACGGGACACAAAAATGAAAAACAAGTTATGGTTAAGATGGAGAATGAACTTGTTTAATGAGCAACAGCGTCGGCAAAAGTAAGTTTTTTCTACTTTGTTTTCCTTTATATAATTATGAAGCATAGAATAAACAATAAAAATAATTTTCTCACTTACATTTTCAGTTTTATAGTCGTTTAAAATTTATTAAAATTAGATAATTTTTCGATTTCCAAGTGATTCATTCATTTGAATTTTCCCCCAGTATGAGGGCTTCAAGAATGGTAAAAGAAATTGTCACAACATTGAGTTCATTATAAGAATATTCTTCCTGAATGATACTTATACACTTCGCAGGATGAGCTATATTGAAAATAAACTCTTGTGATTGGTTTCAGATCATTCCATTAGGGTGGTTAAAATAGCAAAAAATACATTGGAGGAACTTTCTTGATACTCAATTATGAAACAACTGTTCATATTATAATCATATAACATTTGAAACATTTGTATGCTCAAAAAAAAAGTTCAAAGTCAGAGAATGTAAATACTTCTGTAGAAAAGTTCACCTTGTTGACTGAGTGCAGTTGTCCCTCATTGGCTCTCAGTTCTCTCTCAAAAGCTTCATGTTTCTGTAATTTTCTTTCAATATTAGCCAGGTCTCTGTATGATTCATCTGCAGCTGTTTTCAGCTTCTCAGCCAGCCAGACTTTCAGATCGCTAACATCGGCGCTGAATTCTTGGAAGCTACGAGAGGCAATAAGCGCTGCTCTACGCGTAGCAGCCAACTGCTTCACTGCTTGTCTTCGCTTTAGAACAGCATTACGTCTTTCATCAATCCTGTAAGGATAGGAAAAGAGAAATTATTAGAATCTTTCCAGGATATTTGAAAAACAGGTCTTTGAGTTTTTCTTGCTAAAGGTCGATATATTTGGGATGATTAAAAGATGAAATTCTCCTTTTCTCCTCAAATCATCTTCATACCTGTCCCCTGCCCTCCTAGGCAGAACTGGCTTATTTAACTTTAAACCAGAATAGTAAATCAATTAATAAGCGGCAGAATGCACTATAAAACGCTAACGTTCATTTCTTGGGTCTCTTTTAATTTTGGGTATCTTAGTTTAAAGATGGTAGCAAATAAGATCATTTTAGAGTTTGTATTCTTCAGCTCTTGGCAAAATGACGACTCAAAATTTCCTTTGATTCAAACTCTCATTTTCAGAACTAATTAGATGTCCTGTAAAAATTTAAAACAAGCTGCAATTTTGATAACGAGTGAATAGTATATTTATGAGAAGATATATCCACTTACTTAGTTTCTTGAAGGCTAGCGAATATTTTTTAATTTTATTCACTATACTTAAAACTGACACAAAAATCATAAATACTAAAAAGTTAGAAACACTACTTACGCTTTATCATTATGACCAGCTGCTATGAATTTATCAGCAAGATCGCTGAAAGCCTTCAGTCTTTCGTCTTGTGCATAAAGCGTGTTTTCAAAGTCTTCATGACGTTTCAGAAGAGCTTCAACGTCATCAATTGAGCCCTGGGTATGAGAATAATACAATTAATTTAGAAAGAATGCAATTTTAAATAAATGCTGCGGTAAAAACAATTCAACAACGAAGATTATTTTGAGACCGGTAAGACACAGTTTAGTGGCAGCCATGATAATTTCATAATTTTCAATTTGTAGAAAATTTGGGCCGTTGAAGTGAAGAAATATTTACTTCCCGAAAATTTCAATTACATTAATGTATAAATAAGCAAATAAGCTGGAGGGACTGTTGATAAATATGAAACTAATGGTTCCAACAGAAATTTATGACAAGAACCAGCTGGTACAGGATAGGTCTCTAATTTACTTTGGTTATGATTAATAGGCAAAACATTTTAGGCAAGGTAGATGTTGGAGTTTTTTACATCTCAGTCCATTTTTTATTTTAAGTATGACTAAAAAAGCAACAAAACAAAATTCTGATTTCTGAATGGTCTGGGGCATATCATAACTCCACCTACCAAAAGACTCTGAGTTTTTCTGACAGAACTATGGTTTCTGATTGGTTAGAAGATACTGGGTTGTATCTTGACCCGTCAGAACTCTCCCGAGGGAAAGGACCAAAAAACAAAAAGACAAACATGTTTCCGATGCAAAAATTCGCTACAGTTAATTAAAGATAGAAACTTACCCCAAGATCTGTGAATTCAAGGAAAGCTTCATGACTAGAAGTAATTGTATCAATATGGTCAGCTTCTTTGTTTAATAGTTGAAGATTCAAACATTGTCGAAGCCAATTTTCTTTCTCTTTCCAGCCTTGTAAAACTGCATTTTGTTCTGCATTCAACAGCGCCAACCGTTCTTTGACCTCTGTTAGATTAGGATTACTCTTCAAAATATGGCTACCAAGATCTGTTACTTCATGGAATCTTTAAATGAGAAAATTTGAAAAAATTAATAAATGACATGAAATCCTTTAAAAAAAGAGAATCAAAAGCTGAGAAGTGTAAAAGTAAAAAGGTGGGCATTTTCCATTACCTTCCATTATTTTATTAAAAAATAACATTACGTATGAATTGAAAAATTCACTTGATAATAAGAAATCCTCGCAGTAATGCATCTGATATTCAAGCAAAAAGGGCTATATTTTTAATTTTCTTTTTTTTTTTTTTTTTTTGTGAGAAAGGAGGGGAGAAGTACACATTTTAGCAAAGAATACTTACTCATCTTGGTGTGCTTTTATGTCGTCGCCAAGTTCTAAGTGCTGTTTCAGTAGATTTTCGGCAGATACAACGTCTCTTGCTGGTTCTTCGGTTTTCAAGGCATCTTTTACATCCGACACCCAATTTAACTGAAAGGGTAAAAAAAAACGGATAGTCAATAATTCTAAGATTCGTAAGAGAAAGCAAATACATATCAGAGTTCAAAAAGATTAAATGAGAAATTAAAAATATTGAAGGAAGTTATTGAAGAGCATAATTAATTCTATCACAATAAACTAATTTGAAATGATTATTGTAAGGGTGGCATCGAATATCAAACAAAATTAAGTTAAATCAGATAATTTGACAAAAGAGCTAAATCAAGCTCAGTAAAGAATGCTCAAATTTTGTAAAAATGAAACAGTAAAATCCAAAGTTTATTACCAAGTTTTTCGCGCTGTTCCTGAAGATTTGTTGTCCGACAGCATTTTCTAGCCTGGCACGCCTCTCAACAGCTTTTGTCTGTATAATAGAAGAAAATCCAAAACATTCATTAGTATGTACACATGTCTATTAGTATACATGGAAATATAGTGACAGGTCAATGGAGAATGCATCTCATTTTCCAAGAATTATAGATTTCTCTTCAATTTTTGCATCAGGTATTCACTCAGTTAGTACTTTCAAAATTTTGACTCCAAGATCTAAAGTCAGTAAATGTTGAGAAACCTCACAAAATAAATGTATAAATGTGAGTAACCACGTCATCTTTTCGTAAATCTACAAAACATTTTTGTGAAGAATGAATGAGAAATGCTTTTGGTGATGCAAAATGTTGTTTTCTTGTTTCCTTTTTCTCTTTAAAATCCTTAGTTGTGATTCTTAACTAAGACCCAAAAATTCATTTACATAGAAAAACGATGGTGGTTACAATTTTTTTATTCTGTAAATGTTAGACAAACAGTTACATATGATCATTCGTTATCTAAGTATTTTCAGATGCTTTGATGTTGCAGCTCAATAAGAAAAAGAAAAAGGAATTATGAGAAACACTTAATCCCTTATGTATTAGGGTGCATACCTTCACTTTATCCCACATTTCTTGAATTTGCTTCTGGCGCCCTTTAACATTTGCTTTTTCAGTAGGATATGCTTCTTTGACCCTACAAAAAAAAGGAAAAGTAATTAAATATGTAAAAAAATGATAAGGATGAAAAATTTAGGAAAAAAAGGTGAAATAATATGTGGTACATTATTACGTTTTGGGGAAAAAGTAGATACAAGTAAATAGTAATTGTATTTACTCATTAAGTGCCGGCTGATTTTTTCCATGATTGCACCTCCATAATTATGGCAAAATATTGTATGTATAATTACAGCTTTTGGACGCAAATGATGTGTAATTTAGGGCTCTACACAGGGTCATTATTTGCCAAGTGATCCAGTAATGCAACCAACAAACATGGATTAGAGGATATCTGCAGTTATGGGATTTACTGCTAGTGGTTTTTTAAGTCGTCACTAGGAGATTTTTTCAATGCTACAATATAGATCAATAATAAGTCTCCTCCAAATGAAAATAAAAAAATGTACATGAAATTTTACAAAAAAGAATGTAAAAAAGAATATTTAACTTACGAATTGGCTAACAAATGAACCCTGTTCACTTTCTCTTCTAGAGGAGCTAATTCTCGTTCAAGTTGATGGTGCCTCCTTTGCAGAGCGTGGACAGTCTTTAAGTCAGATCCTATTTCTGCGGTATCTAGCTGAGTCATTTTTTCAGTCATCCAGTCACAAGCTTCATCGCAAGTTCGGTGGAATAGTTCAACACTGTAATAAAATTAGTGAATGTAGTCAAATACAACAAGACTAAAAGTTTACTGAAGGTTTCAAGAGTTCTTTCTCATCATGTTTTGACAGCAATAAAAAGGACAAAATCATGAATACAGACATTTAAATAGAAACATACGTACCTATTTAAACACGGTACACCACTGATCAAAATCTATTGCCTATTAAAATGAATAAAAAAAAATTTCTTGGCATATAAAATGACACAGATTCGCCCTAAACAAATTATCTCATTTGATTTCAATTTTCAAAAATTATGATTTTTCAGCACCAGTGATAAAGAACCAAAATACATAAATTTGAGATTTGATGAGAAATTTACAAATACGTACAACAAAAATAATAAATCTTTGCATACAGTGCTATGCAAAAACTTATATTATATGTGTTAAAATTTTATTATAAGACAATTTACTTTACCTAGAGGCTCCTTCAAGGCTCTTTTCTTTTTGACCCTTCAACCAATTGAGATGGTCCCATAATTGATGAATATGGCGTTGGCGAGCTCTGACTTTGTCCAATTGGCTGTGGCCTTGTTTTTTGAAAGTTTCTACAGCAGTATCTAGTGCTTCTATTCGTTTACTACTTGCAGAAAGGTCAGTTAAGAATTTCTGGAATCAAGAGGAGACAAAAATGAAGCAAAAATAAAATTAATTTTCGATTTCTCATAACCCATTATACACTGATATTAGTGAGATTAAATACTGAGGAACGACAGATTGAAAGATCAAATTGCTCAGATATTTTTGCAAAACTAAAGAATACCCATAAAACGTTAAAACATGATTGTCTTGGATATCAATGCCTAAAACCTACAAAACACCTTAATACCGATGGACTCGTTTCATCTTGTTACCAGTAAATATTGCTGGGGCATCATTGTAAATTTTGCCAACACATTAAGTCCTATAATATCTGAATAATAAGCCTCTTGAAAAACAGAACCTTGCAAACAACCAGTATGATCTTTGAGTCTCGTACCCGACAGGCGGACACTAAGTTTTGAAATATACCATACTATTCTTACTTGCTAAAAATCACAGCTCATATTGAAAAAGATGTAAATGGTTTTAAGGAATTCGAGGACTGATGGTCTTACAATCATTCAATGATAAAATAGACAGATTATTTTAAGGCTCACTTACCTCGTACTTCCGCTTGGCTGTTTCAACAGAATCTGTCTTATCTTCAGTGCGGAGCATCTTCTCCTTATCTTTGATCCATTTTTCAAAGTCATCACATTCACGATAGAAACCGAATAGATGAATTGAATCTTCCAGCAATGCATGTCTCCTCTAAACATTCAAATGGAATAATCAATTAGTGCAAAAAGAGACACTGGCTTTCATGTCTTCCCTACAAAGAAAGGAAAACTTCCTTCAGAGAAGTTCATTCACTAACTTTTGAGAAATCTTAAGGGCAAGGCATCAATTATATTGACACATAATAAAATGAATAAAGTGAGCTATCAATTACTTCAAATTGTATTTTACTATTGAATAGCTTTAGACTGTTGAGTTTTGACTTTTCGACAGTTGAAAAAGGTAAAAATACTGATGGTTTTATGAGTAAAAAACAATAAATAAATAACAAGCATTCAAAAATGGAAGTTACCTGAGATAAGTTCAGTAGCTGAGAATATGTCTCGTTGATCTTTTTTTGACGTTTTTCAACATTTTGATTTTCATCATGTTTTTGTTCTTGTTTTTTGGTGGGTGACTTAGCTGTAAAAACGAGAAGAGATAGTGCAATGAAAAAAAATTTTGATTAAGATAATTGATATTTAGAAAAGAATTTGGGAACTCAGCATGAAACACTAATCATGCATGATTATTTTTTCGCTGACTAAAAAGGGTCAATAATCAATAATATTGATTGATATTTTGTGAACAGCAGGCCCATAATAGGAGAGGTGAAAAGGGCGCAAAAAGGGGGTTCCCCAGTTTACCTAGTTCCTAGGCACCTTGTTGTGGTTGAATTTTAAACTTTCGGAGTCAACTCATACAGAGGACCCATAATTCAACTATGATTACCATTAAAATCTATTTTTCATCCATGCATCTGATTAAATACTTACAATTAAGTTTAGGCGTAACAATTTTCTTGACAGGTACAATTTGTTTGATCATCTTGGTTTTCTTGACTCGTTGAATCATTCGAACTTTTTCAGGCCTCCTTATAGCTACCTGCATTATTTTCGGTTCTATTTCTCGAACATAATTGGCAGGAACAAAACCATCTTGACCGTTGGCTTTCCGAACACTCCACCAATCTGGGTTTGTTTTACTAAGTAGAAACATGATCTGAAACATTACCCATGTGAAAAAAAGGTTAATGAGATAGTAAAAATAACATATATATAAAATCAGTAACCAGCCAAGTAATCAGGCAAGGAGAAAAAAGAACATGCCATTGGTTTGTATTTACGAGGGATGATTCTAATCAAAAGTAAAGAGAATGTAAGCGTACTCCTCCGAGAGCAACAAAACAAGGCGGTTGCCAAAATCAGGTGTTGGTGCAGATTTTGGTTAGGATAACGACCTTATCAATATGACATATCTTGTGAATGTTTGACCAAACTAATAGTTATTGTAATATAGGTTTCTGGAAGGAATACAATTTTTTACCTTAGATTCATTACATTCACATTTGGATAGCATTATCAGAATGAGCCTTGGACATTGCCAAATTTTTCTAATATTTTATTATATCAACAGAATATTCAAGAATACTCCACCTGAAAACTGCTGATTTCTTCTGTATGATCGCGGAAAAATTTAAAAAAAACACAGCAAAATTTTGCTTTGTTCTTGGTTGCAAAAAAACGGAACGTGAGAAAAACTTGGGCGATGAGAAATACTATGAGACTAATTCTGGTTGATGCCGTCTTTTTATAAATTCTCTACTCCCTTGAAGCACTTTATTTCAAGGGTAATATCTTACATTGAACTAAAGAAGCAGACAAACCTCTCCTTTAGCCATGAGCATGCCGTGTCCTGAGAAATCGTACAGACTTTTCACTTGGGGAACATGCCTTTCTTCCATGACCGTTCGATGCTCTAATCGTTCGACAGGTTCTTCCTCCCACACTTCTTGCGGAATTAGTCTTGTTTCGTTGACCCATTCTTCCCTTGGCTCTATTTCAACGACTTGTTCTGGGTCAGCTGAGAGCTAAAAAAGAAAAAAATAAGGGAAAAATTAGCTTAAATAATTCCAAATAAAGTTTAGATAGATTTAATAGACTAGACTGGTATCCTATTGTAGTGCCCACAAAATACTACTTTGTTACATGATGCTTGCAGCTTAACAAAGACTCAGGTTTGCTTTGTCTGATAGTCTAGAATTTTCAGCATCTACGTAAGTGGAAACTTGAAACAATAAAATTATTGATATAGGCTCATCGGAGATAATTTTAGTGTTACTCGCTTGAATTATAAAAGGAAAGACTAAAAACGTTTGTTTGTTTCATACATATTATTCAAATGAAAGCACCAAAGAAATTTGACATCAAGAGTACCAAAACAACTTGACTAAACTAACTTTGTAGGCTGGGGGTGATAAGATTTTTATGCTTTTTAGGGCAAAATTAATCTTGTCTTACTCAAAATATAACTCAAAAGTTAGTTTACCATCAAGTAGAATTGATATGCAAATAAGTTAGTACACATCACAAACATCCTTCATGCATAATAATTAAGTTAAGCAGGTAACCCCTTTTTCCAACATATCAATAAGGAGTTAGAGCACAAGAGAAGAAATCTTATTCTTATGTCTTATTAAGAGATGTATGAATAGCTTTCAAACTAGTTCAATGAAAGAAGGTGAAAAAGTTCAAAATTTATGAGAGAAAAATGGACACAGAAATTTCATGAGAGCTCAATTCTGTTATCTTCTTCTATTCATTCATTGGAGACTGAAAAAACAGAGGTATTTCACTTGCCTGTAAATTTGAAATTCCTGCACTGACTAGTTTTTTCGCTTGCAGGTTCAGGCTCTGGATATCACCTTCATAGGCTTTTACTTCTCCTTGCAGGTCTCTGTGCCGAGCTAATAGAGCTTGTGCACTTGGTTCATCTTCACCATAATCAGTCGAGCCCACCAGGGCTAATTTCTCGTTCAACCATGATTCTGCTTCATTGGCATCTGTATAGAACTGTTATAACAAAGGAGAGGAGTTAAATTATAATATTCTGCAGGATCAGTGTGATGAATACACACAACAGAAGGAAAAAGAAAAGCGAAAAGAAGATAAGGCTTGCACTTCAGTACCTATTTTTTTGGGGCAAATTTTAATCTAAAAAGTTAGAAAACTGAATTGGGCTTTAAGAGACGATTTGATTGCTCATCAGGATACGGACAACTTAGGTTGAAAAATGCTTACTTCAGATTTCGATGTTATAAGTCTCTGCAACATTTTTTAAAGAAAAACCAACCAGAAGTTTCTGTTTTTCACTGTGAATTTTCCTTGCATCGGTAATAAAATACAGAACTCCAAGGAATTGATCAGTTTTCTTTGAAGAAAACAAAACATAATTGGAGATTTTAAATGGTTGGAATTGATATTTATATTCATTTCTCCCATTTGGCCATCATATCCTACAAAGTTTTCCAAGAATAATTGTTCAAAAATTCTCAACATTCAAAGCTTTTGTTGTCAAACAAAAATATTTTGAGTGAATTTTTGCCATTTGGTCTACATCAACATGGGTAGAATTAGTGCATAGAAATTGCAACGATTTTTGTTGAAGGTCTAAAATATATGCAGAAAAATGCTGAAATGTTTGTACTTGAACTTTGCAATAGGAACCGCTAAACAAGAATTAGTTAGTCGTTTCTTTAGGATGCGTTGTTGGAAGCAAAAATTGGAATTTTTGAATTAATCCCTTAATAATTAAGTTTGATCATTCAATCTTTATAAGACAAGAAAAGCAAACATTTCGGTAAGTGATTCTAGAGAAACTTAAATTGATAATGCCAACATTTTTAAATTCATCTGTACATTCATTTTACACATCTTGCATTTTTAAAAATGATTTAATAATTTAACTTTACTTAGAAAGTTAAACCGGGGTCAAGTATTATTTGTATGATTTTAACAGCTCAAAATCAACTCAACGAGAAGGAAGAGAAGTTTTGTTCCAATGTACCTGGTAGGCCTCTGACGCATCTTCAAGTTGTTTCTTCCGTTGATCTGCCAGTAAATCCAAAGTCTGCCAGTGTTCAGTCAGACTATTGATCCGTGCGTTTATTTCTATACTTTTAGGATGCTTGTCTGCAATTAATCTACAACCACTGTCGCACAGTTGGATTGACTTTGGATGCCTGACTTTCATTTCATCAATTAAAACCTGCGAAAAAAGAAAATAAGTAAAAATAACGTGAAAGAATGGGATGTCAGAACATTTGTTTGATCAAATTAAGATTTTAACGTAGGACAGAGATTTCAAGTTTTTCGAGGGAAAATTGTGAGGATGTGAAAGTACGCCTGCTTTTTGCAGGGTGTAGGTTGCGCAAAATACATCTTGCCCAACTCACCATGTCACTATTCAAAAAATGCCGAAAAAAATAATAATTTAATTCATAAAAAATACAAACAGCAAAACAAAAAGAGACTTTAAGAGAAGATGATTTCATCTATAATTATACTACACAAATAAAATTAACACATTTTAGATCCTCAGAAAAGGGGCGCAGCATAAGGCAACTTCTGAGCAACTCATGATGAGTAGTTTATTCTAGCATGCTGGTGGAAAATCACAAAAAATCAATAATTCACTGGTTACAAAAGTTAAGGTACCTTGTGTTTTTGTTGCAGACTTAAAACTGCTCTGAGGTCTTTCGCCGAGATTCCAGCTTTACAAATTCTCTGCTTTTCTATCAACCAGCCTTCTTCATCTTCATGGTCTTGGACAAACTGGAAAAAGTTTCTTGCATCTTCTAGCCGAGATCTCCTTTCTTTACCATTTTCAATTAATCTAAAAAAAACCATATAAAAATTTGGATGAAAAAACTAGAGACTCTAAGCTTGGTCACGATAAATTTTAATTTTTTTCATGATTTTTATTCTTTTGAATTCTTAATTTTTTTTTTTAGGATGGAAAATATTACAGAAAAAAAGAGGGAAAAAAGAGGCTTCTGCAAAAATAAATAGATAGATTTTAACTGTTCATTCACCCATCAACCAGACCCTCTTTGCTAAATTTTTGGCAATCTCAGTCATTCACTTCCAGTAATTTCTGAGGAATTGAAAAGTGCCCAAGATATAATAATTTTGGAGGGGTATTTGGTTCAGAAAAATCAAGAGGTTTGAAATTTAGTAAATAATAAATAAGTGAGGGATATGCTATGCATGTAATAAAAGTTTTAAGTAAAGTGAATGAATATGCTATAAAGAGAACTCACTTTTCATAGACAGTATTCAATTGGGTTATTCTGGTTTCCAAAATAGGAGCTTCCTTGTGACCGGCAGATATGTGCTGAACTGCTTGCCGGCCAAGTCTCCTGACAGTTTCATCCATTGCAGTCATCTGCATTTCTAGTAGACTGTGTTTCTGGAGGAGGTCTTCAACAGCTAGTAAATGAGGACCCACAGATCCGGACTGAAAGTTAAGCTAAGAAAAAGTGGAGTATTAGTCGTTTTGTAAAAAAAAAGGAGACTATTCAATCATTACAATGATTGAACTGATGTTTAAGTCATTTTAGAGCCTACTATTTTCATCGAATAAAATATGCTCTTGGGCAAATGTTGATCAGAAACATTTATTACAATGACAGGAGTACAGGACTCTTTTTTGTGAGTGAATATCAGTAAGCATACGCACAGGGTTAGCTTGAATTGCATCTCCGATTGCAAAAGACAACAACTAAACAACTGTAACTCTTAGTAGTTAAAATAATGTGACGGAGTCCACACGACACAAGTTTATTCACTTGCAGAGTGAGCTGTCATCAGTTAAGCATTGAAACTATTGAAAGTAAACTCAAGAATTAAGACGGTGGATCCTCTGTTGCACTCTAAAAGTGCGGTAACTTAAGCTGATCGGCTGATCTGACTTAAGCTGTTGTAAAAGGATCGATTACAAACAAAGATGAAGGAAAATGATCCAAAACTGTAAAATGCTCTTTATAGAACAGTAGAATGAGTTGATGAAAAATAACAGGAATAATTACCTCTAAGTCTTTGATTGTAGCCATAACAGTATCGATTTCTCTTAGAAGCATCATAAGAGTACACTTCATGTTAAGATTAACTTTATGCTTTTGGAGAAAGTCAAGCAGATCTTGCCACCTTTGGAGGACTTCTGCTTTTCTCTTCTTTACTCCTTCCGCACCATGATAATTCTCATTGATCAGTTCCTCGCTCATGTTGCTTAAATCATGAAATCGTTCTTCCTGTGGAAAAAAATAGGCACAGACAATTTTAGAAAACTTGAGTTCATCATGAAGTTTGAATGCAATGAAACTCATTTTGACTCTGAGTGGTTTTTTCCTTTCACTAACTGCAGAGTGATTGCTCTTGTTTGTCGAAAAATTTGATTTAAAAAATTACGAAGGTTTACTGTATGAATCTGATTTCAAAAAGAAATGTCAATTCTATAATTTTTTCTGCTTTTGAATTATTTGAACATTTTTCAAATCATGGCATGAAGGAGACAGAAAAATTGAAAATCAAATTCCGTGGGTTTTAAATTGGGTCTTAAAACTTTAAAAACATTCCTTTGTTCTTCAACTAAAATGAATCTATTTTTAAGCAGGAGGTTTATTAGAAAAAAGCTTTTATAAACTCGAAGTTTGACAAGACTCTTGGAATTATGCAAAAAGTAAAAAGTAAATTTAACTTGAGCAAAGCTACATCCATGAATCAGAGATTTTTTTATATTGCAAGGCCATTGGCCAAGAGAAGAGAGCTCATCAACAGGGCAATACAATTAAGGATAGTTACCCTGGCCATGATGTCAGCACTGATGGCTTCGTGCTTCTTGACAGTTGCATCAACCTGAGCTAAATTACTTCCATACCTTGGATCTGAGAGAACTTGAATCATTTCTTTCAAATATCCCTCCCTCAGTACACTCTGAAAAATTGAATGTATAAAACAATGAGAGGATGCAATCAAACATGGATTCATTAAACAAAAATAAAATGTAACAAGTAAAACACAAAATGACAAATACTGAGTTGTAATTTGTTTCTAACAATTTACCTTCTCTTAAGGACTAAAACAATTCTTGCTGCTTTTTTACTGACCTTTGAAGGCGCGTTTCTTACAATGAATGAACTTACACTACCTTAACATCGACTTTTATTTGAAGCAGTATATTGAAAATTGAGACTGGGTATTAGAATTATGTGGTAACTGCAATACTTAGGTAATATAATGTAATCGACATGTAATTTTTATTTCTGTGAGCTTCTAGGGGTGTTCAAACGAATTCTTGCCGGAACGCTATCGATATCGTCTCTTATTGAAACTGGCGCAGTACCGACAGTAGCGATGATATCGACAACAGCCGGCCTTATCGGATTTTTGAGAGCTCGCACTCAATGCATTGTTGCCCCGTGTGTCGGTTTATCAGATTGCCTGGCGCGGCGGCGCGTAAAATAGATGTACAAATGGCAACAGCTTATTTTCGCCAGCTCCGAAAACTCTGATCGCTATCGACAAGAGCGCTCTTATCGTAACTTTTTCTTAACGGAACTGTTTCGGTAGCTTACCGACAACCAATTGAACAGCCCTATGAGCTTCGGCTTTTTCTTGGCTCAATATTTTTATTTGAAACTAAACAAATGAGTTGGTTTTAATTTTTTTCCATCTATATCTGAGATTTATAATTTTTCAAAGAATGATTAGGAGATATTTTCCTTAGGAAGAGAAGACAATGACAATCAAGTGTTTACATAAGAATTTCAATTCCAGTCATTTACAGTCTCCTCCTACTTAATTTAGCTGGTTAAAGATAGCGACTTATGAGGAACTTTGATCCAACATATAATTAAAACTTGATAAAATTACCTTCCGTTCAAATTTATAGTTCAGTTGTTCTAGTCTCTCTTGTCGTAATAATTCTTGCCTTAAAGCAACTTCACGCCTGTGTTCTGCCCGCTCTAGTTCTTCCCAATTTCGCTCAAGATCGTGAATTAGTTGCCCTTCTTGAGGTGCGAATGAAGGTTGGTTCAAGGACTTTAATTGTGTGTTAATATGAAAATATAAAGCTTCTATTTCACTACGCTCTTTGTACCTGCAAGAGAAAAATCCAATGTTAGATGAGACACAAAGCTAAAGCATCTTGTTGATACTCTCGGGAAAAATAAGATCCTTTAATAATGTAATCATTCTACATAACTATGCACGAATGAATATACAATGTTTTCGACCGATCAGAGTAACTCGTGGGCTCGTGGCCTATGAGGAACCTTCTCTATCAGATGGGCATTCCATGAATTTGAATACAGAAAAAAATTGTGGAGTTATAATGAGCCTATCACGTGTTACAATGTTCAAGTTCTATGTAAGGTTTCAATGTTAACAAGAAAACTTTCTGATGATTTTATAACGTTTTCTGTAAGTTGTCTTTCGTTGCTGTTGAGGACAGAGAGAAGGATTATTGACAAATGCATTGAGAAGGATTTTTCAGGTGATTCTTTGAGCAGCATTTGAAAAAGAAAAAGAGAAAGAAAAATATATCAACTTACTTTGGTGGTTTTTCAACAGTTCGGTACTGCTTAAATGCTAATAATGCTTTCTGAATGCCTTCTAAAGTGTTTGGAAAATCTCGATTCTCTAATTCTAAAATTTTTTTCTTTATCCATTCTAATAAATCTGTGGTCAATTTTTCATATAATAATTTTTTCCTATCTGCGTCCATCATCTGACCAACAATCTAAAATAAAAGGCAAAAACATGAATTAAGTAAGCAAATGATTTTCGAAATAATTTAAAAGATTCAAGAATTGAGCAGTAATTAATACCAAGAATAAAAAATCTAGTAAAGTAATTTTTCTGAGGAAGAAGTGGTGCAGAAACTTTTAGATTACATGATCAAGGTATGTATGTAACGATCACATACCTCAGGGATTTTAACACTCTCTACACTCTACTACTCTCTCCCTTTAACCAATCTTATTTTGTGTGCAATTCTAGTACTGGAAACTCGTTGACATTTTCAATTTCTTAAAATTAACTTCCTTGCTGGCCTCTTAATTATGTTTTTCAATTAACTTTAAAAAATTAACTCGCAATTCCAACTGCTCGTGCCATTACGAGCCTCCACCAAACTCTTGATGCAAAATAAACTTTCTGATTATTTTAAGATTTCTTTGATAGAATTTTAACTTTCTCATAAAATTCTAGGGAAAAATTTGCAATCAAAACAGTTTTATCATGAAGTGAATGTAATTTTAGATACAGTCAATTGATACACACAGAATTCTGTATTTAAGAGTCCAAGGAACTTAACTAGCAATTTTGGACAAATCAGTAACTTGCATTTGCAACAGACTTAGTACGAGCTCCATGTTGACAAAAATTCGATATGGTATCTTATACCAGGCTCAAGATACAAGGTTTTTGAATTTGCAAAAAAACGCTACAGATAAAAGAGCTGTTGCATAGTTTTCCCCAGATTTCTTGAATCGGTGAAGACATGATTGCGGCTCTTTAGCCTTTAATTATAGAAACGTTCCTGTTTATATTAAAGCTTGAAGTGAAATAATTTAATCCGACTTACATTTGCTATCCTCCTTCCACTTTTCATTTCATTTTTCATTCGGGCAAAAGTGTGGTAATAGGAAGCTACATAGGTAATAATTGATTTTTCATCCGGTCTGTTGGTGTCAACATCTAAAAGGAAGTGACAAGTATAAATGATTAGAATGTAAAACTGAAATCAAGAAACAATCAAATTCGCAACAATTCATATGATATCTATTTTCATTGGACTTACATAAGGTTGCCATAGAATTTAGAAAATGAAACACCCTGACATTTTCTTGATTTCCGTGACACATTTTGGTGAAATTCCCTAACAATTGAAGATATTGTGACAGCTGGTTGAGAAGACATAATTGAAAATAGTTTTCAGGCAAAATTTGTTGTTCGAGACCTTAAATCTATTCTTGAAAGCAAATCAAGGGAATTCAACTAATTTTCCCTGACATTTCCCAGTTTTCCCTGGATTTTTAAAATTCCCTGACAGTGGCAACCCTGCTTACAGGATCAAAAGGGAAAAAATTGACAGCACGGCAGTATTGTAGTTGTGGAAATGTATCCATTTTAGAGTGATTTAAAAATAATTAGGGAAGGTATTAAGTTAGTAAGTAAATCTCACCTTCAGCATCTAGAAGTTTGGGAATGCCTAGCTCTGAATTTGCGACTTCAAATGCATTATTTAAGTTGTCAATATGTTTGTTCGGTTGTAAGGCATTGTAATTGATGAGCTCTGGTCGATGAGCATGAATTAACGCATTAAATCCTAACCCAGTTCTCCAAGAACCTGAAATGAAAGAAAAATAAAAAATATGAGTCATGAATATTTTCGGATTATTATTACTTGTCATTAATGATAATTTTCTCATAAAAACAAAGATTGATGAGATTGACCAAGAATGGTTAGAGCATCTGTAAAATTATTCGACCAACGAAGTAGACAAAAATGAAGGGTTTAAAGAAATAAAGTTTCTCTTGACTAAACATTCATGTTTATGATTGGGTGAAACATACGAGCTAGTAATCAATTAATATTTTGCTCTTAAAAAGAAATTACCCCTCAAAATTGTTAACTCTTGGCATCTATAGAAATTTGAGACGAAAAAGAACGTTCGGCGATGAAGGCGGAATTAAGTATACTTACTGGTAAAATCCTGGATATTAACTCCTGGATATCCAGCAGTTTTCCGTTGGCACCACAGTAGCAATGCATCTTTGGCAGATTTTTTCTCACTACTCTCATTTTCTTCGTCCTGAAACATAAGAAAGTTCAAGGAAATTGAAAAAATGCAACATTGCGATAGGAGGAAAAGAGACTGGTTTCGAATTTTAGAAAAACCGAGCTGTTTATAGTGATGAGATTTTTAGTATGCACAAGAATATGTTGTAGAGAAAGGCTCATAAAATTCAATAACCAAGTTCGTAAGATATTTTTGTTTTGGTTTTTGGTTTTACTTCATTGCACATGATGTTGGTTCCCTAGTTCCCTCATTGAATCAAGTGTCAGCTAGAGGAGTTCGAGTTACGTACATCATACATCCCGCCAGATCAACCAGTAGTCCACAGGGGGAAGGAAAATAGAATGCAACTATTCGAACTTACTGATACTGCTAGGAGGTATCACGCGTATTTGAAGGCACTTTCTCGTGTGTCGTAACTTGAACGTAATATCTTTAACACGTTGACGGAAAAAACCGAGGATAAATCAATTTTATGTCACTATAATCTATGGTTTCGGGGAATTGTATAAAATCTCGGCTTGATAAACTACAAGATCCTCAAGTCCACCTTACAATGCCGAGGCTTTAAGTGCTTATTCATGTATACACCTCCGCAATTTCAAATGAGAAGTGAATGCAATTGAAGGCGAAAACTTAGTAGCTCCACAAAAAAATTCCACGATCAACAATTTTTTTTTATGAATTCCATGACGTTATTCCAGGTTGCTAGACGCACTACAAATCGAAAACTGCGTACCTCCGATTACGACATCGCAAGTTTCCATCCGTGTTTTATTTTTTTAAGAGAACACCGACAGTTCTCCTTGAAATTTTGCTTCGTCTCCTTTCAAAACAAACAAATAATGAAATTTTCTTAAACGTAGCGATACCTAGCTTTAGCCATCCATTCGTAGCCTTGCGAAATTTTCCCGCGCTGAAAAACGAAGTTGGATGGTATGAACTGAAGTTCTAGAATCCATATTGACTGAACTATTCAATCCACCGAACTCAACGCTCGATTCGGATAGCCAAAATTGAATTTCTTTTCCCACTTCGATTAAATTCAGAAGCTCGTCCATAAAAGCCGTGGGTTCCAATTCGTCGTCCTTTTCATAGAAAAACGTAACTCCAATTCAATGTTGCCAAATTTCCTCTCGCAAATTCTATTTTTGCCAGGAGAATCTTTGCCATTTCTAACCGAAAATTTCATTCTTTTTTCCTCGGATCTCATACAAAAATCCGAGAAATTTCGGACAGAAATTGCACAGGGGCAATTTCTGAAGAAATTGAATAGTTTGAGTCAATTTTGCAACCTTGGAATGGATTTACGTTCCTTCGCCCGGGAACCGAGTAGTTCGATCGATATGGAACCCAGTGGCGTGGCGTGCTTTGCGATACATCGATTGTTATGCCATTTAAACCTATGGAAAAGGATCGATTAACAGGGTGTTCGCAGCGAACACCTTCATAATCGATTATTTACCATAGGTTTAAATGGCATAACAATCGATATATCGCAATTCAAGCCACGCCACTGATGGAACCCCAAACTTCGGTTCATACGATCGGACTTTTTCTTCCAATGCGAGAAAATTTCGGAACCAAGCCCAATCCTGATTTACAAACCGAGCAGGGGTACTAAGTACAACCGGAACCCGTTCCTTTCCTCAATGAGGTGCCAGAGCCGAAACCGGTTTTAAAAAATCAACAGCAGCTTGCGTCCATCATGCATTCGGCGCGGCATTTCGCATCGAAAAAAGCTATCATTAGCGAATGATGTCAGAGCAATGGGAATTGCAGGCGAGATACAGAGGAGTAATTAATGCGACATAGGGCACGGGTATTTGTTCTGATGGGCGCCCCCCGGTGCCCCTCAGCGCACATTCCGTCGCCCCTCTGACAAAAGGGCGTTTCTGGATTTCCACGTGGCCCCTGCTTCTCGTATAACCCTACGCTTTCCGCGGCTCATGCGGAAGTAGAGATAGGCGATTACGTCGGTGGAGCGAGGATTCATCCCTGCACCGGGCACGAAAGCGTACTCATGGAAGGTAAATCAAATGAAACTGGAGTGCAGCGTCCGGAGATAAAGGCCGCCGAAGGATTCAGGTTTTTATTATTATTCATGCACGAGAGGTAATACACTTGTTGATCAAGTGCACGGCTCCACCGCGGTGCCAAGTTGTCGCCGGGATTCTTGCGTTCCCAACTATTGAATGGATAAAGCTGTTCGATCTGATATTTACGGTGGCAGATCGCGGGTTTCCGGAAATCGGAGAAATTGAAAGGTGTTCTCTTTCAGAATTGCAAGTTTCGTAAAAAAAATTGAGAATTTGCGTACAAATGTTTTATTGCTTCATCTGAGAGTGCTTAAAGAGCTGATTTCACAGTATCTTTAATAATTTTTTTCTGATATTTGAAATAGTATAAAAATAGATTTAAAAATGAGAGAATGCTCCGCCTAGTGACGTCATCTGGCGGCATTTCCCATTTAAACACACGTATTTTAGCAGATTCGATCATTTTGCCATATCTTCTACAATAATTGTTCAATTCATGAGCCAAGGGTATCCTCGTGTTCAGTTCCTTCGGTAGTTTCCACTTGAACGCGAAATTCATCAAATTTCAGACACCTGCAAATTCTATATATTCCCTGCCTTATTCTCGCAGGGTGTCCACTATAATTTACTTTTGAATTTTCCTAATTTTTCCTGATATTTCAAACGATATTTCCTGATTTTCCGCGAAAATATATTGACACTCGTCGGATTTACGAAATCAACATATGTAATAAAATGAATTATTGTTTGAAAAATGGTTGATTTAAGCTCTCAATATTTCCTGATCCGTGGCCGATTTTCCTGAATTTTCCTGTTGACAGATAATTTCCTGATATTTTCGGATTTCCTCGGATTTTCCGAACAGTAGGTTTATCTGCGGGTCTCCGAAGATCCAGCCTCATCCTTCGGCAAAGATCCAATGCGAGACAGACCAATCTTAGAGCTCCATTCTGGCATCCTCGGCTATTAATTATAGCCCGCGATAAGCGCGCTACGGAATGGCGGCGCGGCGTGATGATGCTCATAACGCGAAGAAAAGGGGAGAGCAAAGATTACGCCGATAGTAACGCAAATTAAAACTAACTGTAACAGAGAGGCGTTTAATAGGGAGTGGATTTTGCTGGTGCTCCGCCGCTTTTTTTAACGCTCGAATCATGATAAAATGGCAACTTTTAAAGCCTTCATCGTCGCTGCTTTATTACCGGGGATCATGAGTTGAGATGAGCCGAGAGGGGGTCTGGATCTAGAGGTTCTGTTCAGTGGTGGATCCGCACACAGGCCGAGGAGGCCATTCAGACTTGATTTTGCAATTTGGAGCCATTATTTTTGGCTCACCTATATAAAAGTACTTTCTGTGCAGGGAAACTATTGATAAACATGTTGTTTCTCAAATGAGCCAGGGATGGTGGCTCCTTCTTGTCAAATTCCATTCGGGGAGTAAAGAACTCGAGGGGCCTCCAACAGAAAATAATCAGGGGCGGACTGGCAATCGAAAAGTCAGGAGGCGACCTAGATTTGGGGGCCCCTCTCTGGTGGGTTTGGGGGCCTACCCCGGAAAAATTTGAAAATTTTACTCTTTAAAAACGCAATTTTAAGTATTTTTGGAGTCAAATTCAAGAGTATTTGGACTTCAAAATAATCTATTCTCGGGATTCTTCAGGGGCCCCTATCACTTCCAGGGCTCTAGGAGCCCACTGGATTTCCCCCTTATATTCTGTATTATAGGCTTTCGGCGACCTTTCATGTTTCTTAGAGGCAAGTTTTCAAGGATTTTGGGGCCTTGTAGTGACTGAAAAATACTGGAAAATTACAGCATTGCGGGGAAAAACGATGACTCGAGAAAAATCGCCGCGGGGGCCCCTTCAGGACCTCCGCGGCAAATTGTTAGGAGGCGATCGCCTCCCCGCCCCCATGGCTAGTCCGCCCCTGAAAATACTGCGAACGAGAGCGCTCAGCTTGAAATTTCAGCAAAGGATACATCTAATGAATGTATAGGCACACTGATTGCGGTAGACGCAAGACGCACGAGTCGTATGGACAGCAAGTTGGACATGTAGCCAACGAGCGTTAAAATCCAGAAAACTGGAAATCTCAATACAGAGGGGAAAATTGTGCTCGAATGAGATTTTCAGTTTTCTGGATTTTTAACGCACGTTGGTTGCATTTCCAATTTATATGCATACTCGTCAAAGAGGAAAATGGACAAACCTGTTTCACTGTACATTCTTTTCGAGACAGTTTGAACCTTTGAGTAGAGAATTTCAACGAACGGGAGTAGGTTGTTGTTGTCGTTTTAGAGCAGGGCAAATAAGTAATAAGAAGCCAAGAAAAAGGTGAAAATTGACCCATTCGACCAGGAATTTCCTTGAAAGACAATTCGCTTTTGGAGGAAACAATTTTAACAAACGAATATGGCAAGTGAGTAAGAAGCCGAAGGAGTTGAACTTGGCTTTACTTTTTACGCTACAAGCGAAAGAATTCTATTTCCGTGACTGCATTTGCTTACTGCATCTATAATCACTGAACTGATGCAATTATGCACATTTTCCTCCTTTTTTGAGGAGACCTTAGCTCTTGGCATTTTACGGTATTTTTATGTCGTTTTCCGTTTCTATAAACTACTTTAAAACATATTATCAACACTGACATTAGTAGAATAACAATTCAACATTTTGAATATTAAAAAAAGCCTGGATTCAATAAGGAGATTCTGAATGAACCAAACATACTATTCTACTTAAGCTGACCAAAAATTGAAAATCTCCCTAAATCAAGTGTTTTCAGATACATGAAATACGAGTAATACGAGCCTTCATTCCTGAATGTAATCGACAGTCAAAGGATTGAGGATATGACTGCCTCACTGATATTTCTTGGCAACTTTCACCATTTCAAAGGGGCTAATATTAACGGAGAAAAACAGCTCGTAGGAAAATAGCTACTCATTTTCGGCAATTGGCCTACAATCGGCCGTCATTAAGCACCAAATATCCATCTACACGCTAGGATTCGATAAACAACGTGCAATCCATTGGAAAGCTTCAGCAGATACGCGTTTTTTCCCATACAACTTTTATCCCAGGGAAGTCTACAATACAACCGAGGCTCATGTCGAGATGTGGAGATCTTTCGGTTCAAGATGTTCCATTCGGAGCAGTGGCGTGGCGTGCTTTGCGATACATCGAAAAATCTGTATTTAAATCTACGAAAAAGGATCGATATGGGGTATTCGCAAGGAACACCTTAATAATCGATTCTTTACCATGGCTTCAAATGGGGAAATCTCGATAATCGATCATTCACGCCTCGCCACTGATTCAAAGTGCGAAAGCGCTTCGAGAGAGCGAGCTTGTTCAAATGTTATCACAGGTAAAATGAACGTATTTCTATCAAACGGAACTATGTGCATTATGACGTGAGTCCTATTATGCATGTATGCTTATGGGTCTCAGGGCTCATGTTTTAATGCACATAGCTCCGTTTGGCAGAAATACGTCAAAATGATCAACGATCACTATTGATCGCACTTGATTGCGTTGACCTTCTACGGAGAAATTACGGCTGCGATGCCGTTTTCACCGCCTTCCTCATCGTGCTTCCGGAGTTGGGATGGGGAAAAAAAATCAACGGCGTCAAAAATAGATTCGCGGTCTGCACGTGGCTCGTGATACATGGACGTGTTGAGAAAGAAAAAAATAATTTCCAGCACCGTTTGCACGAATGCACGTGCTGTTCGGGTTTTTCCGACGGAGGACTGAAAACGATACTCACCACGTCGATTTCGATCTCCTGGATTTGAAACCTGAGGATGATGGTCCAAATGAGGCCGAGGATGAGTCTGGGGTTGGCGTCCACGATGTCCTCTGCCCCGATACTTTCCAGCCGAACCTGCAACAAACCATCCGGAATGTAAGAAAAAATTGTCTGATGCGTTCAATACAAGTCACAAAGAGATAAAATCAGAGAAGGATTCACAAAAACCGCGACTCCGGGGCAGGGTGGCATGAAACGTAAGAAAGAAATGAAAGATTGGAAATTTCAGTGAAATATTTCATGAAGTTTCACGAGCCATGGGAAATATTTCATATTTTTCAGGGGCTAGAGTATGCAACCCGCACTTAAACACACAAAAATGGAAGAGAGTCCCAATTTTTAAATTTTGCGAAACATGAAAAGGAACCGGTATTTTTCAATATTGCTCAGGAATTTCTGAAATTTCATGAAATATTTCACGTGAAATTTCAAGATTTTATTCTTCATGAAATTTTGCCACCCTGTTCCGGGGGTGGACCTAAGAATGAAATTATCAATATTTCGGGTACGCAGCAGCCTTACTCCTGGAAGACTGGACATCAATCCGGGCAGGGCTGGTACCTTCCCAAATGCAACTCTTGCTTGTGTCAGGAATGTCGACGGTGAGACTATCAGACCACGTGCACGGAGAAAAAAACTTCGTGCGTGGGACCCGAAGTTGAGGTCATACGGATCTCTGAAGTTCTCGGATCGCGTATTTAAAAACTCGAGGTCCAGCTGCCGGAGTTCGGGTCAGACATCTGAAGTACTTCGATATATACCGAAGGGTTTGGATCACACATCTGAAGTACTCCAGTACATACCGAAGTGCCTCGATGTCTGACCCGAACTTCGGCAGCTCGACCTCAAGTTTTTAGATACGTGATCCGAAAACTTCAGAGATCCATATGACCTCAACTTCGGGGCCCACGCACGAAGCTTTTTTCTCCGTGTATCTCATTTACAGCGTTTAAAAATCCCCGGTCCCATTTTATTTTTTTGAAGGAGAATAAGTAAATACCATTTCTTGAAATTTTCATAGAGATTTCTTCGCACGAAGAGGAAAAAACTCGGAAGTTTTCAAGAATCGACGTTAATTAGTTTTCCATTCAGAAAATAAAGTATGACAGAAAGTCTATGACGTCGCAAACGGAGATACGTGGTAGTTTCACCATCGATGTGCAATTTACGCACTGGAGTCCACCTCTAAATTAAGCCAAACTCCCTCCATTGCGGCCTTAACTTTGAGAGCTTTTTTGAGCTTGGAACTTTGAGCTTGCGAGCTGATTCCGGAGAAAACCAGCGGCACCATCGTGTTTCTCGCGAAATTTTACGTGAAAAACCCATATTCGTGTACGGAATTGAAATCGAACGCGAGAAACCGCAAACGCTGAGTTGACAAAAATTGCAAAAAAAAAAAAAAAAAAAAAAAAAAAAAAATGCGCAGAATACGGCATAGGTCATTGAAAGGGAACAGCTGTGAAATTTTTCCTAGAAACATGGCATCACGAAGCTCGTCTGGTAACCCGATGACCGCTTTGCATGGGTGTGAGTGTCACATTCACATGTCGACAAGACGGCTGCTAAGACGCAGACGGATTGGGTGCAGATGGCTCACTAACAATGACTGCAGTGTTACATGAAGCCTTACACGTTAAAAAATAAGACGGGTGAGTAATGCATTTGCATGGACCATTCGTCATTTTCGCATACGATGCTTGATAGGGTCTCTACATAAATTTTCTTCTATTATGGACCATATTAGGAAAGCCCTCGTAAGTATTTCTTCGACAATCGAACGAAGCCAAAAGAATCAAGCACGTATATTTCTGTCTAAATTATCCCTCTTGTTGTGCCTAAATCAGGGTTTCCATGATGTCACCATTTCCTAATTAAATGTGCTGACTTGTATTGCTGTTTCGACCTGCCACCAAAATTTCCGTATTCTCTTACTTTTTCTTAAGGTCCTTTTTGTCGTGCTTTTTCTAGACCTCTGGACAAAACTTGCACTGGGATTTTTTTTTTCTTTAAACGAAAATTACGCGAGACTAGCTGATTTTGGACCAAATTTACATGTCGACGGATTCAAATTTCAAATAATGGGAAAGAACTCATACGGATGGCTACAATCGCTTAGCCGATGCGGTACTCGCCAAATTCCCTGACTTTTCCCGAATGTAGTTCCTGATTTTTCGGGGCCTCCCATTATTTCTTGGCCGCCGGAAACCCTGCTGCTTTTGTTGTGAAAGTATTTCACCATTGTATTGTATTGCGTATCACCTTTGTATAATCACATTTATAGGATTGTTGAGGGTTTGAGATGAGAGACCTGAATAAGGTCTAACCTTCAACGAAGATACTTAACTGCCGGTAGACGAATAAAGATGAGGAGTACTTCAATACCGTTCGATAAAAGATGCGGCAATTTGATAAAACGTTATCGAAATAGAGTTTTATGATGGAGTTATGTAAAGTGATAACTAAGGAGAGATGAGGGCAAATGATTAGGGTATAAAATTAATTGTGTGTTCTTAAGATAGTGTCAGACACTACTTCTATTTGAGTTAGAGCTGCAGACTTCAGTTCAATATTTTGCTCTCACAATCAATAGATATAGATAGGCTCCTTTGTTTTACGAACTTTTCATAAAAATTTTTTCTCAATCTGTTGAGAGAACCGCAGCGCAATTTCGATGAAAAAAAGATCTTCAGAGAAGTCGACTAAAACGATAGCCAGATTGCATGGCGTCTCATGGACCGATCTCGTATTCATCATTATTTTTCACCCGTTGATAGTTCATTTTTTGGGGCATTAATTTGCTTCTCCAAACCCGTGGATTCTGATTTTAACTGCTCATTTCCCTGATACGTTCGTTCGTCGCTTTTCAGATGAAAGAGCGCTACTACTTTTCAACATCGCAAAATATTATTTCGCAAATCATAATTTTCTAAAAAATTGGTGAACGTTTTTGGCTGAAAATTGCACTGGTTTTTTTTCTAAGCGTATGAAAAAATCATCAAAATCTAGGACAGAAATTGCAGAATCATAAACTGATAAACATTGATGGGTTATGAGTATATTTTGCGACCTTATAGAATGAAGTTACGTTCCTTCGTCTGAGAAACGAGATTGCGCTTGTAATTACGTGCTCTGCCGTGTCGAGTAAAAACGTCGTATGAGCATTCGAATGTTGCCAAATTTCCTCACAGAAAAATCCATTTTTGAAGTAAACAATGAATACTTTTCCTTGAAATTTTCAGGCTTATTAGATCAAATTACGAAAAAAATTCTGGGATGAAACATCGGAAGAGAAATATTCACACATTTTCCTGAGAATGAAATTTCCTGTTGTCACAGGAGATTTGGCAACACTTGATGGCTCATACGGCGTTCTTCCTTTACACGGCAGTAGGCACTGTGCTTAGCAGGGCAGCCATAGAGTGCATGAAGTCGTAATGAAATTGGGATGGCGGCGCCACTTTTGAGCATCTACGTCCCAAATTCCGGGACTCCTGTGTGACGCTGGGTCACTTTTTCGAAACATGATCGAATGTTTTTGATACTGCTCGATTGTTTTTAATACACGGGCACCTGGCCATCCGATGTAAACAAAGAAGATAGGAACTACCACGAATGGACCACTAGACAAGGTGCGAATTAAAGCAATCTGATACCTACATTTTCCTTAACCAGAATTCCACGTAGAACACGATTCGAGCAACAAATATTAATGAAACCAACTCCTAACGAAGATATCAACGTTTTTATTTCACATTGGTTACGAGGAATTTGAACTGCCCGCTCACAAGAAACCCAAAGCTCTACGTGAGTCAAATCGCGCACTACAACGGTTTCAGCAAGCTTCTCAATCGAGCAATGTTCATTTCCCACCATGTGTTGTTCAAACTATAAGCGATTTGCTGTAGCTGAGCCAAAGTGTCAAAATTGAGGCTGCCAGATTTTTAAATCGCAGATACTGTCATGATAACGTTTAGCGCCCGATGTGAATCACGTAAAGCATTGAGTTTTCATGAGCGGGTGGTTTGAATTTACGTATCAAGAATCATTAAATATCTTCGTAAGGAGTCCATTTGGGTAATTTTCGTTGTGCGCATCGTGTTCTACGTGAAATTTTGGTGAAGAAACATGTATGAGAATGCTGAAATTCGTACCTTGTCTAGTGGTTCATTCCACACCGTCATTTTGGATCGAACATGTATCGAAAAAGTGACCGAAAATCGGCGCACAACGGGCTCGGAACCCGTAAAGCAGGACACGGCGCCCGCTCTCCCATTTACATTACGACTCTAGGTACACTATGAGTGCAGCACAGATGAAGTTTACTCTTCACGAGGACTAATTTCTGGGCTAACCCACTGACCCAATGAACAGTGATTTACACGAAAGAGAGATTGATGTAAACTAGGATCGTTGCTGGTTTCTGCACACCGGTTACCGGTTGTCCGCGAGGGATTGTCCGTGCAATTTCTTCGGAGGCGACGACGATACGGATACCGGACCAAAATCGGCCTTTTCCGGCGGAAACTCGTGCCCCGTGCCCCGGGCACGCTACGGCTCTCCGGTTCTTCCGCCTTAGTCCATTCATGCAGTTTGTGCATAGGAAATAAACAATAAGCGTAATGCAACGCCCCGCGCATCCTCCAAGACTCATCACGTGCGAAAAATTATCGCCGCCACGTATCTCTGCGTTGTCGAATCTCCCGATGACGCGGATAATGATTTACTCCCTTCAAAAAAATGGCACAGAACTCGTGGTTTTTCTGGCGAAAAGCCGTGACTACGTTTCAATGTTGCCAGATTTTTTGGCGCGAATTAAGTTTTCGCCGGGAGATTCCGAGAGATTCTGACGGAAATTTGCACTAATTTTTCTTCTGTCCCAGGAAAAATTTTCTATGAAAATTGTAGCGTGCGGGTCTATCCTCGTAAAAAATTGGATTGTTTTAGTAAGTTTTGCAACCTTGGAATCGGAGTATTGCCGCAGAATTTAGAAAATGAAACTCTACAACATTTTCCTGATTTCCCTGACACATTTTGGTGAAATTCCCTGACAAATGAAGATGTAACGGACTGTTAAG